GGAGGACTCCAGGATTGTGAGCCCTCTCTGTGGGGGCCAACGACTCGCCCCCAATAGTCAGTGATGGAGTCAACTTACTATATTGGGATGCCGGGAGCCACAGCCACTCAGTCTTGGAAGGGTTGAGCTTGAGCCTGTTCCTCCCCATCCAGATCCGCACAGCCTCCAAGTAATTAACAAGTGGAATGCCTTGCCTACCTATGGGTACTCCATCACTGGAAATTTTTAAGAAGAGATTAAACAGCAATTTGTCCAGAATGGTATAGAATCTCCAGCTTGAGCAAGAGTTTGGACTAGAAGATCTGCAAGGTACCTTCCAACTTTGTTATTCTATTCTGTTTACATGCCCTTTTCCCACATCTTAGCTAGAACTGTGGAGAATAGCTACAGAATCCTAAGAAAAGATGCATCTGATTTAGGAAGTTGTTGAGAGTTGCCCAGTTCTTTTGAAAATGTCTGAACATGTTCCCTAGATAGAACAACACTACCTAGAGCAGTGATGGCGAACTGAAACATGCACATGTCCACACATATATGCTGGAGCCCTGGAAACTTGGAGACCAGCATGTGCACGTCAGCCACCTGATCTTCAGGTTTCTGGCACACATACTGGTCTTCATGCGCACCGTAGCCCCAGAAACTTGGAGACCAGCTGGCCAGTGTGCATGTGCACAGCAGAAACCAGAAGACCAGATGATGACAGTGCGCGTGTCCACAGAGAAGGCTCTGTGTGCCACCTCTGGCACATATGCCATAGGTTCGCCATCATGGACCTAGAATCTTGATGGCCAAAAGCAAATGAAATGAAAAACACTTTTAATAAAGAAGAAAATTAAACATTTTGTAAATCATCCAGTTTGTAAAGTATTTCCTTGACTGGGAGCAGAGGACATCTGAAGCACCAATGTGGTAATGGAGAGGAGCTCCATATATTGCTATTGGGATGCTGACATTCTGGTGGGAGGGGGAGGATTGGAGGGATCTCCATGTGAAGTTTCTGTTTCTATTTCCTGTTGGGAAAGTTCTCTATATGAAGTTTCTGTTTCCTGCATTGCTGTACTGTGGGAGGTGTTTTGTTTGCACTGCTTTAAATTGCTGGTTTTTAAGTGGGAAGATTTCATTCCTGACTAGACCTCTTGCTATCACAAGCCTTTCAACAACAAAAAAAAGTGGCTCCTTTTGGAACCACTTCAGTTTCTTTTCTTTTCTTTTTTTTAATAGTTTTTATTAATGATAAAAAGAAAAAACAAAACCAACATAAATACATTGAAACAACATACAAAACGAACACACATCAATTCAGTCCAATGACTGACTCTTAGAAGATATTACAACGGTGGGTCATTTTTCATATTTCTATTTGTATCAGTATCTACAGTCACCTATTTACTTAGTTATGTATGTACATATATAGTTGACTCCTTATTTACTTCTATGCATTTCCATTGAATAGTCAAAAGATCATCTTTATATTCCTATTTTTGCCTCCAGCCAGCTGTACCATCTTTGCCATACTAAATAGTAATCAGTATCATCTTTCTCTTGTATTTCTTTTGTGAGCTTATCCAATTCTGCGCATTCTGTAATTTTAGCTATTATTTTGTCTTCTGTGGGTAACTGTTCAGATTTCCAATGTTGGGCAAAGAGTATACGTGCTGCTGTGAGGATATGGATAATCAGATATTTTATTTCTTTGGTATATTGTGCTGTAATTATTCCAATAAAAAGGTTTCCGGCCTCATTTCCAGTTTTTGTTTCGTGATTTCTTCAATCATTGTTTTAATTTGTTGCCAGTATTGTTTTGCCCTTCGGCATAGCCACCAGAGATGATAATATGTCCCTTTCTGTGATTTACATTTCCAGCACATCGGAGATGTATTTGGGAACATCTTGGCTTGGCGCGCCGGTGGGAGGTGCCATCGGTAGAACATTTTGTAAAGGTTTTCCTTGTAGGGTATAGACAATGTCATCCTGTAATTTATCTTCCACAGATTGTCCCACTTATCCAATTCAATAGTATATCCTATATTTTTGGCCCATATTATCATATTCTCTTTGACAACCTCCTCTTCTAATTTATATTTTAGTAGGTACTTATAAATTTTGGTAATCATTTTCTCATCTGTACTTTGTAATATTTTATCCAATTCATTTGGTTCATTTTGGAATCCGAATTGTGCCCGATCAGTTTTATATCTTGATTCTATTTATTTTATTTATTTATTTTTATTTTATATTGGATTTCTATACCGCCCTTCTCCCTAAGGACTCAGGGCGGTGTACAGCCAGATTAAAAAAAAAACATGCAGAACAAATATTAAAAACAATTAAAAGATATATAAATTTGGCCCAATTAAAACTCATTTACCAATTAAAAACGTTTAAAACATTTAAAAACAGTTAAAAATTTCATCTTAAGCCAGCCCGGCTTGTTTAAATAAATGGGTTTTAAGGGCGCGACGGAAGGCACTGAGGTCTTGGATTCTCCTTATCTCTGGGGGGAGCTGATTCCAGAGGGTAGGTGCCCCCACAGAGAAGGCCCTCCCCCTGGGGGTCACCAGCCTGCATTGTTTGGCTGATGGCACCCCGAGGAGGCCCTCTCTGTGGGAGCGCACGGGTCGCTGGGAGGTCGTCGGTAGCAGCAGGCGGTCTCGCAGATAGCTAGGCCCTATGCCATGGAGCGCTTTAAAGGTGATAACCAACACCTTGAAGCGCACCCGGAAGACAACTGGAAGCCAGTGCAGCTCGCGCAGGAGCGGTGTTACATGGGAGCGCCATGCTGCTCCCGTCACTACCCGCGCTGCTGCGTTCTGGACCAGCTGGAGCCTCCGGGTGCTCCTCAAGGGGAGCCCCATGTAGAGAGCGTTGCAGTAGTCAAGGCGAGAGGTGACGAGGGCATGAGTGACTGTGCACAGGGAATCCCGATCAAGAAAGGGCCGCAACTGGCGAATCAGGCGAACCTGACAAAAGGTCCCCCTGGTTACAGCCGTCAGATGTTCCTCCAAGGACAGCTGCATATCCAGGAGGACTCCCAGATTGCGAGCCCTCTCTGTGGGGGCCAATGACTCGCCCCCAATAGTCAGTGATGGAGTCAACTGACTATATCGGGATGCCGGGAGCCACAGCCACTCAGTCTTGGAAGGGTTGAGCTTGAGCCTGTTCCTCCCCATCCAGACCCGTACAGCCTCCAGGCACTGGGACATCACTTCAAGGGCATCGTTGGGGTGGCCTGGGGTGGAGATGTACAGCTGGGTGTCATCAGCGTACTGGTGGTATCTCACCCCAAAGCCACGGATGATCTCACCCAGCGGCTTCACATAAATGTTGAACAGAAGGGGCGAGAGGACCGATCCCTGCGGCACTCCACAAATGAGAGGCCTCGAGGTCGACCTCTGCCCCCCTGCCAACACAAACTGCGACCGGTCGGAGAGAAAGGAGGAGAACCACCGCAACACGGTGCCTCCCACCCCCAACTCTTCCAGCCGGTGCAGCATGATACCATGGTCGATGGTATCAAAAGCCGCTGAGAGGTCTAACAGGACCAGAACAGAGGAACAACCCCTGTCCCGAGCCCTCCAGAGATCATCAACCAACGCGACCAATGCCGTTTCTGTGCTGTGCCCAGACCTGAAACCCGACTGGAACGGATCTAGATAAGATGTTTCCTCCAGGAATTGCGGAAACTTTGCATGTTTGCATGTATGGCCACCAATCAATGTCTATACCCTGATTTTGTAATTCTTGTCTTGTTTGTAATTCTCCTTCACTGTTCAGTAATTCTTTATAAGTCCTCATTTTCTCTATATCCATGGCATTGGGATAGATTAGTGCTTCCATTGTCGATAGCCATCGTGGGATCTTGATATAATGTTTCCTAATATCTTGCCATGATTTGTACAATGATTCTCTGATAATATGTTGCTGGAAATATCCGTGGTGCTTGTCCTTTCCCTCCCACAGAAAGGCGTGCCAGCCGCGTTGTAATTCAAAGCCCTCTAGTGATAGCATTCTTTTATTCTTAAGGTCTATCCAGTCTCTTATCCAGTTTAGCGACGCTGCTTTGTAATATAACTCCCAGTCCGGTAGGCCTAAACCTCCTTTTTCCCGAATATCTTGCATACACTTTATTTTGATTCTGGCAGAACCACTTCAGTTTCAAGAGTCCTGCTTTCTTACAAAGATTTGGAGAGGCGAGACCTTACAGGAGCCATTGGAGAGGCTGAAAAGACTCCTACATAAAACGTTCTGAGAACTGATTATATGAAGTCATCAAATGTTTTAGAAGTTGTCCATGCTAGTGGCTCAGGGGAATGCCTCCATTATAAAATAAAGAAGGGGAGATTCTGTACATGAAGGTCATTTATCTGTCTGATAGATGGGTGTGATTGTGTTTGTGTTTTAATGGTATTGGGAAAGAACAGAGGTGGTATTCAGCTGGTTTGGACCGGTTCTTAATAGAAATGCTAAACATTCTGTGGTCAGAACTTTTGCAGTTGAATTTTCCTTATTAAGTGTATAAAATAGCTCTATCCCCATTTTGCTTGCCCTGATATGGGACAATTTTATAAACATTTAAAGTCAGCAGTGCTTCCTAGAATAGTTGGTAGGCAACATAGTAATTATGTTATTGTCCTATGGAAAATTACAAAAAATGCTGCAGAGGACACGATAGGTCAGGGGTGTCAAACTGTTGGCCCTTAGGCTGGATGTGTCACGCACAGGCCACGCCCACCCCAGCTGTGTGAATGGGGAAAATGTCACGAAACGTCGTGTGACAGCAATGTGACACGGAGAGTTTGACACCCACGTCATAGTTGAAGAGCCAGCTTTTACATAAAGACATCAAAAGATACAACAACATTAGTAAATGTTACTAAGGGGTTAAAAGGGGTTAAAAACAGAGAAAACTGCCCATCAACTTCAAATCTTCACACACAAGCTTTTTTCCTATAGTGTTCCTTTGAATAAATGTACATTATTTCAGATTTGGGTGTTAGATATTATTTTATTTTTCTTGTTAGCTGTTCTCTTGTATTAAGATTTGGCTTCAGCAAAATTATGTAGCATTTGGGGGAAAAGATGCAACCCAGAATTCCTAAACTGGAGGCCAAAATGGAAAAGACTTCCACAGATACCATGTACTTTCCCTTGGTGCTCAGGTAAGTTGGGACAAAAGATATCCAAACACTGCAAAACAGCAACATGCTAAAGGTAATAAACTTAGCTTCATTAAACGTGTCAGGCAATCTTCTGGCCAGAAAAGCCACTACAAAGCTGACAATGGCCAGGAAACCCATAAATCCCAAAACACAATAGAACATGAAAGCTGAACCTTCATTGCACACTACAATAATTTCTTCTGCCATTGAATGCATGTCAACATCTGGAAATGGGGGAAAGTTGACCAGCCACACAGTACAAATGATGACTTGAATTAGTGAGGAGGAAAGAACGATGGAGTTGGCCAATCTTTTGCCCACCCATTTCTTTATCCTGGACCCTGGCTTGATAGCAGTAAATGCAAGAACAACCATGATGGTTTTGGCCAAGATGCAAGAGATCGCTGCTGAGAAGATGGTGCCAAATGCAGTTTGTTGAACTAGGCAGGTCAGCTTCTCTGGGTGGCCAATGAAGAGGAGAGCACAGAGGAAGGAGAAGGAAAGTGAACCAAGGAGTGCATAGGTCAAGTTCCGGTTGTTGGCTTTGACAATGGGAGTATCATGGTATTTAACAAACATGACCAGGATGAAAGCAGAGAGACAAGTAGAGCAAAGAGCAAAGCTAGCCAAAGTTCTCCCCAAGGTTTCTCCATAGGACAAGTAGGTTTTCTTCTTTGGAATGCATGAATCCTGGGTAGGGCTTGGATAATGATCATCTGGACATTGAATGCAGGCATCCATATCTGAAATATGCAATCTGATTTTCCATCTTATGAAACTAACATATTTTGATGAATTAAGTATTTCAGTGAAGGAATGTACTGAAAATATAGCATGGTTTTCTGTAGATATTCCCCAATTTTTCACAATGAATGTGTCTAATATGTGGCAATAAGGATGAAGGTGGCTCTTGGAGTCATTCTTGTGCTGTTGCTGCAATATTATATAATATTCAAAGTATGTTTTTTATTACATTAAATGTATGATTTTCTAAATTATTTTGGTTTTGTAGAACTAGAATGATGTCTCAAAAGCCACAAATCAAGCATATATGGGTGAGTTAACTTACTGAATCTCTACATTTCTAGAATAGAAGAGAGAGAGAGAAAGAGAAGGAGGGAGGGAGAAGAGAAAGACAGTGAGAGAGAGAGAGAGAGAGAGAATGAGAGAGAGAGACAGAGAGAGAGAGAGAGACAGAGGCAGAGAAAGAGACAAGACAGAGAGAGAAAGACAGAGAGAGGGGGGAGCAAGAGAGGGAGGGAGAGAAAGAAAGAGAGAGAGAGAGAGAGAGAGACATAGAGAAAGAGAGAGAGAGAGAGAGAATGAGGATAACTGAAATTATTACTGGATAAGTACAAACATTCTTTAAACCTCCTTTTTATTTAAAATGCAATTTTGTTTATAAAAGCTATGGTATACATAAAGTAAAACATGGAGAAGAGCATGCCCAGCAAACCAAATTTAAAAAACTTTGTAAAACTGAAAAAGATTTTATATAGACAAGTCAGGAAATACTGTACCATATACCGATTATTTGCAATAAAGAAGAATATTTGTAGCTCAGGTTAGAACCAATCCTTGGTTTGGTTGTTTTCTTGAAAATGTTTCATTACCCAAACTAGATAACATCATCCGTGACTAGCAACACCTGCAAAAAAAAACAGATTATTTGATCTACTGTCCTCTTAAGAATCTTTATCCAGGATTTCTTACCTTTCTGATCAGCAATTTTCCCTTCTGGACATGGAAAACAATCATAACAACAAAATGGTTTTCCTTCTTTCTTTGCCTTACTAGTCCCCAGCTGACACACATCATTACATAGAGAAAGAGGCTTTGTCTGTTGAAGAATGAGAAATATATCACAATGATACAGTATATCACATTTGTTTGAACTGACATATGCTTCATCTCTAAATAGAATGGAATAACATTATTTTGAGGGTCTGATTCTCTTCACCTAGAATCTTGAATGAATGTGAATGCTTCCAGAAGTCATCAAAATTTGAGCCCAACCTAAAAGTGATGATCCCTTTTAACAAATACATACATTCAGTGGTGGGATTCAAAAATTTTTACTATCGGTTCTCTGGGTGTGGCTTGGTGGGCATGGTGTGGCTTGATGGGCATGGCTTGGTGGCCATAGCAGGGTAAGAATACTGTAAAATCTCCATTCCCTCCCCACTCCAGGGGGTTGCATTTTGTTAATGCAAAATTCCCATTTCCTCCCGATCAGCTGGGACTCGGGAGACAGAGAATAGATGGGATGGGGCCAGTCAGAGTGGTATTTACCAGTTCTCTGAACTACTCAAAATTTCCGCTACCAGTTCTCCAGAACTGGTCAGAACCTGCTGAATACCACCTCTGCATAAATTGCAACTAAACTGCAAACTTTAACTTTGATCACCTCTTCATTCTGTTCTGATTTTTCTGAAAATTGCATTGTGTTCAGATAAAGGAAAATAAATTAAAAACCCATACATTTCTACTGTCCCAGAACCAAGGAAAAAGCAGTACAGAATCCAGTTTATTTTTCCTAATCCAGGGGTCTGCAACCTTAAATACTCAAAGAGCCATTTGGACTAGGAAAACACCGGGAGCTACAAAACCTGGGTGGGTGTGGCCAACTCGATGTCACTCACTTCCATCGGTCACATGACCTCCTAGCCACACTTACCCAGCCGGTCATTAGGGCAGAGAACCAGTTGTTAAAAAACACCAGGAACCACAACATCCTTTTGACATCTCTCTCTCTCTCCTCCCTCCCTCTCTCCCCCACTCTCTCCTTCTCTCTCTTTATCTCTTGTCTCTGCCCTGGCTGCTTCTCCATCCCCCACCATTGCCCTTACCTTCTCAGGCCAGGCGAGGAGTGACTGGGAGGGGAGGGTGAGGGGCAGGGCCAGCCAGTGTTGGGATCACCTGACAGGAAGCCACAGCAGAGGGCCCAAAGAATCACATGCAGCTCCAGAGTCATAGGTTGCTGACCCCTGTCCTAATCCATGCTTCAGAATTGAAACAGTTCGGAATAAGTTGCTTCTTAGACAGCTGTGAATATTTCTGATTCTGACTACCACGTATCACTGAGAGTCAGGTGACATATAAATTTAATTAATAATTTAGAAATTAGAATTAGGCCACAATGAGTATTGGATGATTCTTGCATTCTCTTGATGAGCACTTTTCCACTTTCTTAAAGCTATACGGCAGGATTGCATGTGCATCTTACCTGGTTGAATTGGCTGGGCCACTGAATTTCTTCCACATGAATGGTGAAGTCTTCTTTGGGAGAAGCCATGGGCTCTATTTTGCCAATTCTAACTCTCTGGAAGGTTTGGTTTGGGAATGTAACCCAGTTGATAAAATCCAATCCTGCTATTAATGAACCATTTTCATCAAAAGAAACTTTTTCACCAGCAGAGTTATTAAATGACACACTTCTCAGAAAGTGGTGCAACTGAAATCAGGAATGAGAGAGAGAGTAGAAAAGAAAAATGTGAGCAGGTTATAAAAAGAAAACCTAAGATACCAGTCCAAGTACTAATGTGTGGTTGTGAGACTTGAACAATGAGGAAGGCTGAGTGCCAAAAAATTGATGCTTTCAAATTGTGTTGTTGAAGACTCTTGAGAGTCCTTTGAGCTTAAATGAGTTCAAATCGGTCAAACTTGAAGGAAGTCAACCTTGACTGTTCTTTAGAAGGACAGATACTGAAGCTGAAACTCAAATACTTTGGCCAAATGAGAAGAAAGGACTACTTGGAAAAAACCCTGATATTGGAAAAGATTGAAGGATAAAGAAGAAGGAGATGGCAGAGAATGAGATGGCTAGATAGTGGTATTGATGTAATGAACATGAATTTGGGCAACCTCTGGGAAACAGTGGGGAACAGTGGGGCCTGGCGCACTGTGGTCATGGGGTTGCGAGAAGTTGGACATAACTTAGCAACTGAAAACAACAAAATAGCAATAGCAATAGCACTTAGACTTATGTACCACTTTACAATGCTTTACAATCCTTTCTAAGCGGTTTACAGAGTCAGCATATTTCCCCCAACAATCTGGGTCCTCATTTTACTGAAAATGAAAAAAAAAAAATCCCCCTCAGAAGGATGGAGGGCTGAGTCAACCTTGAACCGCTCAGAATTGAACTCCTGGAGTGAGCTTTAAAGTTAGCCCTGCAGGACTGCATTCTAACCACTGCACCATCATGGTTCTTTTAGCAGTGTTCCATATCTGAGATTTACAGTTGTTCTTTATTTCCCCTAAAAGTTTCATCTGACTTAATAGAAAGGTTAATAAACTAGTCAGTTGTAATATACACTGCATATGGAAATAAATAAATAAATAAATAAATAAATAAATAAACAAATAAACAAACAAACAAACAAACAAACAAATAAACAAATAAACAAATAAACAAATAAATAAATACATGTACAACATGTATACACGTATACATGTACAATGACAATAAAGTTATTTATTCATTCATTCATTCATTCATTCATTCATTCATTTATTTATTTATTTATTTATTTATTTATTTATTTATTTATTTGCATCCTTTTAGAGAGTCATTGAAACACTTGGAAGTTTATCTGTGTAAACTGAGTGCATCGGGTGACCCTGAGGATACAGACAAACCTCCAAGTGCTTCAACGACCCTCTAAAAGGATGCAAATGACCAGCTGTCTGCAAGGAATATAAATCCTTCCATTCCCCACTATCCTGTCAGAGCTGAAGAAGCTTCTTGGATGAGAAGTGAAACGTCTTCAAAGAAAAAAATAAAAAAAAAAAAATAAAGAGGTCCTGAAAAAAGCACCTTTGGGACAACCGTGACCTGGATGACTGAGAATCTCTACAGATTTTTAGCCTGCTTGTTTGAGTCTTCATTGACATTTTCAATGGTGGATGGGTTTTTTTTTAAATCAAGAAAGATAATTAAACATTGTACAAAAATACTTCTATCAATGATATGGAATGGAACAATTCTATGCTGTTCATTATGTTGAGTAATTACCTATAAAATAAACCTTGCAATCCCAGTCTTAGTAAGAACAGAGTGAATAATGTAGGTTTTGATTCCACTGAAAAGAATACCTACATATCTCTTGAACACCTTTATATACTGTATTCTGCTTGGAAGACCACTACCTGCCACAGAGGTTTGTGCAGAAATTTCCATCTTTCTCTCTTTGTCCTTGATCTGTACCTGGACTCAGCTGAATGCATGTCACGTAGAGCATGAGCTACAGCATAGACAGCATTATAGATAATATAGCTATGAGTGGTCAGGCTTGTTTCAAAAACAGATATAGGAAGGGTTTCTAGTTTTTCTTCCCCAGTGCAGATTTTGCTCTCTTCTTGGTCTACCAGAGAAATGGAAAACACACACTTAAAAGCTTGTTCCCAAAAAGCTTTGATGAAACCATCTTCTCCTTCCCTTTTAGGATTTCTGGCCTGAACAAACTTTTGGAAGCCAAGCAACTCATTTCTGTGCACCGCTAGTGATATAGCACCATGTATGAAGTCTAACTTCCAATCATTTTGAAAGGACAGTGATGTGAAATCCATTTGAGCTGTCATAATCCAGACCTTTGCCACCATTGGTACATTCTCAAATTCTGAGAAATAAAGCACCATCCTCAAAGCAAAGATGGTCTGAATTTCACCATGGACTATGAATATCTTGGCAGGACTATTTAGGATTGCTTGATACATTTTGTTTATTTTGTCCAACATTTCAGCAGCACCTTCAGCAAAAGTTGGTTCTGGTAAGATTTCTACGATGTCAAAGCAAATGCCATTTCTATAGTACATGGGAAGTATATCCTGCACAAATTTCTCGCCATAGACGTCATTCAGATAAATGACACCGACCCATCTCCATTCAAAAAAGTTCAACAACCTGAAAATACCCTTATACTGGAGGGCCATGTTTGGGAACATCTGATGGAAAAAGACTCCTTGGTTTTTTTCCTCCATCATAATAGCAGAACCATATGTGAACTAAATAAAGGAGAAGACAAAAAAAAAATACACAAAATTCAATAAGTATGTAGATTCTTTCCAACAATCAATCAAATATGAGCCAGCAATGTGTGGTGGCAGCCAAAAAAGCCAATGCAATTCTAAATTGCATTAACAGAGAGATACAGTCAAGATCAAGGGAGGTACTAATACCACTCTATAAAGCCTTAGTAAGACCATACCGAGAGTACTGTATCCAGTATCCAAACTATAAAAAAAGATGTTGAGACTCTAGAAAGAGTGCAGAGAAGAGCAACCAAGATGATTAGGGGACTGGAGTCTAAAACATGATGAACAGTTGCAGGAACTGGGCATGGCTAGTCTAGTGAAGAGAAGGACCAGGGGAAACATGATAGCAGTGTTCCAATATTTGAGGAGCTGCCACAGAGACGAAGGGGTCAAGCTATTTTCCAAAGCACCTGAAGGCCAGACAAAGAATAATGGATGGAAACTGAACAAGGAGAGATTCACCCTAGAAATAAGAATTTTCTGACAGTGAGAACAATCAACCAATGGAACAGAAGTTGTCTTCAGAAGTTGTGGGAGCTTCATCACTTGAGACTTTCAAGAAGAGACTGGACTGCCATCTGTCAGAAATGGTTTAGGGTCTGCTTGGGCAGGGGGTTGGACTAGATGATTTACAAGGTCCCTTCCAACTCTATTAATTTGTAATCTGAAAATGACTCTCTGCCTAACTGACTTGCTCTGATTGATGAAGCTGCTTGGATGAGCAACAAAACATCTCAAACTAACGAAAATTAGTCCAGTTCCCACATTTCAACCTTTAGACACCTTTGTCTTGATGATTGAGATTCTTCATTGACATTTTGATCTAAACCTTACTATCTTTCTGTCTGTTTTCTATTTTGTTTGTCATAATTTGAATATTATATCTCCTGCTTCATAATAACAAATAACGATGGTATTAATTTTTGCATTTTGGAGGAGACAGGGAAAAAATAAAACAAAGGAACTTTATTACATGCTTGGATTTATTTGAATTTGGGTAACAGTTATAAAGAGTTGTTCCCACTTTACAAGATGTAGACAATTCCAAAAGAATTGCGTGCATTAATTCCTGGAGCGTATAGTTTATATTTGAGTTAGTCCTTGGGTTTTTTCTCTATTTTGTTCAATTTTTCCCATTCTTAGATCTCAAAATTATCTCATATTTGATAGAGGAGATTCTTACTACTTAAGTCTCTATTGCTTTTCTCAGACTACCTACCTGTGGGATCTTGTACATGCAGAGAATAGTTGCCATGTTGAGACAGACATCAGAGTTAGGTCCCCCAATAACTGCTATTAGATTGTTTTGGACATCACATCTGTAATTTGGGATGAATTTGTGTTTTGTGGAAAGAAGTTCCATGGAAGCAAGATAAATAGCACTTGCCCTGAAATCATTATTGTAGATGTCAAAGCCCAGGGTGATGTTAGGTAATAGTTTGGCATTGTCATTTATCTCTTTTATAGCAAATTCCAAAGCCAGGATATGTTGGTAGTGTTGTTTCAGAATCCTACAATGAGAGGAATGGACATCTTGAGATGTTGATGGTTTTAGCAAAGACCTTGTTTGAAATTAGATTGTCTGGCCTTATCCTGGGATAACACTATGACTTCTCTGAAAATAGTCAGCCAACTAACGCACCTCAGTAGAATTAAGATGCAGGACATATTTGTTTTACAAATATTCCGTGATTTATTTTTCATAAAATAGTTTAGTATTCTTTCATTTTTTAAAAACAGTTTATTTATACATTTTCTTTTAACATACATAAGTGCTTTGTGAACAGTGTATTGTCTGGGTCAAGTTGTACATAATAATACTTTTCCAGCTCCTAATTTCTACCTCTATTATCCAACCATTTATAAAACAAGTCCTATGTTCGAAAATACTCTGTATCTTCTTTTTCTTCTATCTTTAATGTCAGTCAGTCTGTCCATTTCTGCACAACCTAATATTTTTTTAATTACATCTTCTTCTCTCGATATTTCCTCAGTGTTTCCAGTACTTTTTAACAGATTAACAGAGTTTGAAGGGACCTTGTAGGTCCAACCCTCCATCCAAGCAGGAGACCCTAAATCATTTCTGACAAATGGCAGTCCAGTCTCTTCTTGAAAGTCTCAAGTGATGAAGCTCCCACAACTTCCGAAGGCAAGCTGTTCCACTGGTTGATTGTTCTCACTGTCAGAAAATTTCTCCTTATTTCCAGATTAAATCTCTCCTTGTTCAATTTCCATCCATTATTCTTTGTCTGGCCTACAGATGCTTTAGAAAATACCCCTTCCTCTCTGTGGCAGTTCCTTAAATATTGCAACACTGCTATCATATCTCCCCTGGTCCTTCTCTTCACTAGACTAGCCATGCCCAGTTCCTGTATCTGTTCTTCATATGTTTTAGTTTCCAGTCCCCTAATCATCCTGGTTGCTCTTTTCTGCAATTTTTCTAGAGTTTCAACATCTTTTTTCTAGTGTGATGACCAAAACTTGATACAGTACTCTAGGTGTGGTCTTACTAAGGCTTTATAGAGTGGTATTAGTACCTCACTAATTGTACTACAAAGGGACCCGGTGGCTCAGTGGCTAAGACGCTGAGCTTGTCGATTGAAAGGTTGGCAGTTGAGCAGTTCGAATCCCTAGTGCCGCATAACAGGGTGAGCTCCCGTTACTTGTCCCAGCTTCTGCCAACCTAGCAGTTCAAAAGCATATAAAAAATGCAAGTAGAAAAATAGGGACCACCTTTGGTGGGAAGGTAATACGTTCCGTGCACCTTTGGCATTTAGTCATGCCGGCCACATGACTACAGAGAAGTCTTCGGACAGTGCTGGCTCTTCGGCTTTGAAACAGAGATGAGCACCACCCCCTAGAGTCGGGAACAACTAGCACATATGAGAGGAACCTTTACCTTTACCTTTTTTTTTTTAAAATTTGATTTATATGCCGTCCTTCTCCGAAGATTCAGGGCGGCTTACAATGTGCTCAGCAATAGCCTTCATCCTTTTGTATATTTATACAAAGTCACCTTAATTGCACTACTTGTGCAAATACAATTCTTGCTGCTGCAAGAGTATACAAATTCCTCTTATACTTTTCTGGTACTATACCTAGCAAAAATATTTTTGGTTTATAATCTATATGCAGCTTTAACATTTTTTTCTAATCATGTATGTATTTTTGTCCAATATTTCTTTGCTTTCATACATGTCCACCACATGTGGTAGTATGTACCCGGTGAGTATTCTTTCATTTTTCAAGCTCTTTGCCTACCTCCTCTTCTTAGTTGTTTTGGAAACATGTAGCCCATGCCTTGATTTATATAGATTTGTCTATTTCCAGGAATGATGAACTTGAAGAGCTTCTGAAGGGTCCATTAAGGCTTTTCTCATTGTTTTACTTCAATAAAACTATTTTGTCTTACTTCATAGCAGTACTGCCAAAACTTTGGAAGATTTCCATAAGATTTCAGATGTTATCTCACAATACTAGACAACACAGTATCAACAGTAGAGACCTTCAAATTTCTAGGTTCTACCATATCGCAAGATCTAAAATGGACAGCTAACATCAAAAACATCATCAAAAAAGCACAACAAAGAATGTTCTGTCTGCGCCAACTCAGAAAGGTCAAACTGCCCAAGGAGCTGCTGATCCACTTCTACAGAGGAATTATTGAGTCTGTCATCTGCACCTCTATAACTGTCTGGTTTGGTTCTGCAACCCAACAAGACAGACACAGACTTCAGATGATAATTAGAACTGCAGAAAAAACAATTGCTACCAATCTGCCTTCCATTGAGGATCTGTATACTGCACAAGTCAAAAAGAGGGCTGTGAAAATATTTATAGATCCCTCACATTCTGGACATAAATTGTTTCAACTCCTACCCTCAAAACGACACTATAGAGCACTGCACACCAGAACAACTAGACACAAGAACAGTTTTTTCCCAAACACCATCACTCTGCTAAACAAATAATTCCCTCAACACTGTCAAACTATTTACTAAGTCTGCATTACTATTAATCTTCTTATTGTTCCCATTACCCATCTCCTTCCACTTATGACTGTATGACTGTAACCTTGTTGCTGGTATCCTTAAGATTTATATTGATATTGTTTCCTGATTGCTTATTTGTAACCTATGACTATCATTAAGTGTTGTACTTTATGATTCTTGATAAACGTATCTTTTATTTTATGTACACTGAGAGCATATGCACCAAGACAAATTCCTTGTGTATCCAATCACACTTGGCCAATAAAAATTCTATTCTATTCTATTCTATTCTATTCTATTCTATTCTATTCTATTCTATTCTATTCTATTCTATTCTATTCTATTCTTAATATTTGACATATAAAGGGTTCTCATTTCTACCAGTACAAAACAGTATCATTCCTTTTAGATGTAGTGGTTGGACTTTAGACTTCTACTGTTTAAAGGGACAGAGCCAATCCATTTCCAGTTAAACTGGGTTTTATATAAGTATATGAATACTCATATCTAATGATCTAAGTGCCAAAGCCCACTGTAACAACATCGCCAAAAAGGCATTAAGAGTTGTAACCCTAATCTTGCATAGCTTCTTTTCTGGTAATATCACACTACTAACCAGAACATACAAAACATTTGCTAGACCAGTTCTCGAATCCAGCTCATCTATCTGGAACCCGCACTGCATATCGGACATTAATACAATTGAAAGTGTCCAAAAATATTTCACAAGAAGAATCCTCCACTCTTCTGCTCACAACAAAATACCTTATTCCACCAGACTTGAAATTCTGGGCTTAGAAAACTTAGAACTATGCTGCCTTCGGTATGACCTAAGTGTAACTCATAAAATTATCTGCTACAATGTCCTACCTGTCAATGACTACTTCAGCTTCAACCACAGCAATACACGAGCACACAATAGATACAAACTTAAAATGAACCGCTCCAAACTTGATTCCAGTCAATGCCTGGAATGCACTACCTGACTCTGTGGTTTCATCCCTAAACCCTCAAAACTTTAACCTAAGATTGTCTACTGTTGACCTCACCCCATTCCTAAGAGGTCTTTAAGGGGCATGCATAAGAGCACCAGTGTGCCTGCCGTCCCTGTATTTGTATCTATTTTATGTATCCAATCCATGTTTATACTTGTTACCTAATACGCCTTTGACAAATAAATAAATAAATAATCATAATAATAAATAAATAATAAAGCAAAGCAAGCCTAACTATTAAACCACCAAACAGAAAGTGGTGCCAAAATCAGCATTCATTATTTTAGAAAGGTAAGAAAGCAGCTGGAAAACAATGAGAAGAAAATTCGTAGCCACAGTTTTGCCACACCTGGAGAGACTATAAATTTTAATTAAGAAAATCAAAGGTCCTTACACAAAATCACCAAAGAGTGCAGAAGAAGGACGTTTTTCAAAGAAAGTCAAATTGGAAAAACGGTAAGTGTGAGAAATAATGGCGGCCATTCTGAGGTCTCCGGATTTATAATACTTATGATGAATAGGAAGAGGCTCACTAACATTACATCTAAAGCTAGGAACTTTGCATACTGCCAGTGGAAGTAGCATTAATATCAATAATACCGAGGTTATAATCAACGCCGAAGTTATCATCTTCTGTGGAACTTTCTGGCCAGAGAAATGAAAGCAAAGACAGTGATCTCTGTCTAGCACAAGGTCTCAGTCTATCTTGACTGGTTGCTGACTATGAGAATTGAAGCCATGATTGTTCTCTGCAAGTTATTTCCGGTGCAACAGATTAAGAATTATAGATCTCATGTTAGTTTTACATGTTTTGACTTGTTATTTTTTTTCCAATAGATTAGCATTCCCCAAGGATCTGGAGAAGTCAACTTCATAATTGCAAGAGCAAACATAATAATTACATTATGTTAGAGCAATGATTTTCTTTTTCTTTAGAAAATGGGAACACATTGCCTGGATTTGAACAAAAGTAAATTTCGATTCTTCTTTCATAGGATAGAAAATGCATATTTTCTATGCTATGGAAAAAAAAAATACAGGTCTACAAAAAAAAGGGGGGGTTGTGGCAGGAATGAAACATTTCCTAAACCATTCAGTTTACAATGTAACGTATTTTCCGATCTTTAAGACGCCCCCATGTATAAGACACTCCCATATTTCATGTAGTTTCTTGTAGTAAGCACAATATAAGCCATCACTGTGCAGAAGCCATCTTGTTAGAGTGAATAATACAACAAGAACAGGAAATGCATCACAGGAACAATAGAGATGAAACCTAGAGTGGCAATGTGATACAGGAAACAGCTACAATAGGGAGGAATGATAGAGCTGCATATAAGATAGAGGCTCATCCTGCATGTGCAGCCTGTGTATAAGATGCCCCTCCATTTTCAAATAAATATTTTAAAGAAAAAGTAGTGTCTTATACATGGGAAAATACGGTATATGTATATGTGTGTGTGTTTGTACATGAATGCATGCACATGCATGTATAGTGGTGCCATAATACTTCTCAGGTTCTAAACTGAACCTAATTTTCAAAATCCAGAAAATAAGTTGCAGTGTACTAAAACAAGAGAGTTTTACTATTGCCATTTAAAGAATCTGGGTGATTTAACATCAATCGTGTTCAAATAGCTGGAAGCTACAGCTACCTTCTGGATATAATTCATGCTACATAAATTGGCTGAACAATGACTATGAAGAAAGGAACATTTACATGTACATTGATGTGTGCATGTATGTTACAATGGTATAGGGATTAGAACCAGAGAAAGCATAGAAGACATATCCCTACTACTTCTATCTGCTGGTTTGGGACTGCAATAAAGTTTGATTTGCAGTGATAGAGCCATGGTGGCGCAGTGGTTAGAGTGCAGTACTGCAGGCTACTTCTGCTGTCTGCCGGCTGCCTGCAATTTTGCAGTTCAAATCTCACCAGGCTCAAGATTGATTCAGCCTTCCATCCTTCCGAGGTGGGTAAAATGCGCCCCAGATTGTTCAGGGCACAATATGCTGACTTTGTAAACTGCTTAGAGAGGGCTGTAAAGCACTGTGAAGCGGTATATAAGTCTAAATGCTATTGCTATTGAATGATTGATATTCCTGCCACTACTATACAAATGAAGCCTCAAGTCAAGTTTTGTTCACTGCAATCCCCTAACCTCAGTAGCATTTTAGCAAGCTTTTGCAGGAATCACATCAATCACACAGCAGGAAACATAAATGCTTATTTGAGAAAACTCAATTTATTTATTTATTTATTTATTTATTATTCATATTTCTATGCTGCCCAGTCTCCGAGGTCTCTGGGCGGCTTACACCAAAGACAGTATACTAAATAGCATATTGCCCCCAACCATCTGGGTCCTCATTTTATCCACCTCGGAAGGATGGAAGGCTGAGTCAACCTTGAGCTGGTGAGATTTGATCCGCTGATCTGCTGAATTAGCAATCAGCTGAAGTAGCTGCAGTACTGCACTCTAACCACTGCACCACCTCGGCTCATAATGATGGAATTGTTAACTTCTCCTTAACCTAACACCACTAGATTCTGCAAGAGAATATTCTACAAAAGACTGATATTAGTAGTGATCCTAATAAAACCTAAACATTTCCTTACAAGTGATCTTCAAACCGTTCAAGAGTGGGGTATATTATAAAAGTTATAGGATTAGCCATGATGAAGCTCTGAGAAAAAACTCCTGCAATGATGAGGTCCCCAGACTGATAATTCTGTTCAGGTAGCTGGAAAAGTCTATAAAAAATGCAGTTACTTCTGGCAGCAACATTGGCCACCTGAAGGGGCAGCATTGCTAATACAGTTGCTATAAGCAGGACAGCCTTGTATGAAGCACAAGTAAATCAGTTCTTCCATTGTTACTCAGAACATCTTCCCTGACCAGCACATCTTGATTTTAGAACTCATTCAGTCAAGACTTGAAGCTAACTCCAAAGCATTGATCAAATCCATGAACATTTTCTTCCTCTTCCAATTCATCAGAATTTTGCTAGGTAAAATTCCTTCCAAGGTATGTAAAATGAGGACCCAAATTGTTGGGGGCAATACGTTAACTCTGTAAAGTTGTAAACCAGTTAGAGAGGGCTGTAAAAGCACTGTGAAGCGATATATAAGTCTAAGTGCTATTGCTATGGCTATTGTGTCTTGTTCCTGTGCTCAGTTTTGCCATGGTGTATGACCTGTGACAGGAAACTGTGTTCCACAACCTCAGCTTAGTAGCAGAATTTGGTTGTTCCTCACCCACTTTTAAGCCTCTTACACAACTGTTTCTGTTTCAATTAATGACTGTGTTTCAACATATGTATGAAATTGATGATCGCTTGCACCAGCTGGATATAATTGGTTAATCATACCAATACCATAGGACTGTAATCCTACAAAATCCCTGACTTTGTGCAAGTGTATAAGAATTGATGAGTTTTGAACCCAAGTGGTGGTCATGCCAAATATTGATTTGATTTGGATTTCTCTTCTGTTCATTTATTTTCCATTTTGTTAATTGATAAAAAATAAACAATTAACATTGCTATTTCTGAAAGCATTCTCAATTTACAGAAATGTTGCATATTTGCTAATATTTTTGCACAGTACTGTAGAGGATAGCCATTTTTTGGAATAAAATGTTGGAATTTCCCACCTGTTTTCTCTCTAGAATTTTGTTTTGAAAACTAACCAGTTTGGACTAGAAATCACATTTTTAATTTAAACTTTATTTTCTACAATGGTAATTTTTTTACACTGACTATTTGGGATCAAATATAAATAATTCCAATATAAGACTATTCCTATACCTTAAAAAGAAAATGTATCCACTGCTTATCCCAAAGGTGCTTTTTCAGGAGGCAACTGGACTTTCTTGCTTCATCTTTGAAGACGTTTTGCTTCTCATCCAAGAAGCTTCTTCAGCTCTGACTGGATGGTGTGGAATGGAAGGATTTATATTCCTGGCAGACAGCTGGTCATTTGCATTCTTTCGACAGTGAAGGGACACAGCACAGAAAACATCCTGCAACCAAGAAGGGTCCACACCCATTTTCACTATTCGGGTTACCCTGAAGACACAGATAAATGTCCAAGTAGCTTCAACGACTCTCTAAAAGAATGCAAATGACCAGCTGTCTGCAAGGAATATAAACCTTTCCATTCCCCACCATCCAGTCAGAGTTGAAGATGCTTCTTGAATAAGAAGTGAAACATCTTCAAAGAAAAAAAACAAGAAAGTCCAGTTGTCTCCTGAAAAAGCACCTTTGGGACAACCTTGATCTAGATAACTGAGAATCTCCATAGGCTTTTATCCACTGCATAGATAAACAATTGGGTTGTCTTTCCTGCACACTGCATACATTGCTGCTGATTATTTTGAAAAAAAAAAATGCTTAGCAAATTGAAAGCAACTCATTAAAATGAGGCTTGAACTAGAGTAAGATGCTTACCGAATGAATAGTAAGAAGAAATGAGAAATCACTTTTATTACTTCATCAGCTGCTCCTTTCTGTTCAAATCAGGCCTCAGAATAATTATGTAACATTTGGGGAAAAAGATGCAACCCAGTAATCCTGCTGCAGAAGCCAAAATGGAGAAGACCTCCACAGCTACCATGTATTTTCCCTTGGTGCTCAGATAGGTGGGAACAAATGACACCCAAACGCTACAAAAAACAAACATGCTGAAGGTGATAAATTTGGCTTCATTAAAGCTATCTGGTAACTTCCTGGCTAGGAACGCCACTGTGAAACTGATAATGGTCAAGAATCCCATAAAGCTTAGAACAATATAAAACATGATGGTTGAACCTTCATTACATTCCAGGACAATTTCTCCAGCCACGGAATGCATGTCTGAATCTGGAAATGGGGGAGAAATTGCCAGCCAAACACTGCAAATTGTGACTTGCACCAGAGAGCAAGATGACACAATAGTGTTGGCTAGTCCTTTCCCTACCCATTTCCTTATTTTGGAGCCTGGCTTGGTGGCCATGAAAGCAAGAACCACTATGGTTGTTTTGCCCAATATGCAAGAAAGGGCCACAGAGAAAATGATGCCAAAAGCAGCTTGTCTCAAGAGACATTTTATTTGGTTAGGCTGCCCTATGAAAAGCAAAATGCAAAGAAAAGAGAACAGGAGAGCAATGAGAAGAGTATAAGTCAGGCTCCTGTTGTTGGCTTTGACAATTGGAGTGTCCTGGTGTTTAATAAAAATCCCCAGCACCACAACTGAGATGACAGAAAAGAAGTAAGCAACACTGGTCAAGGTGGTTCCCAAGGGTTCTTTGTAAGACAAGAAAGATGTGAGTTTTTTAATGCAAAGCGACCTATTCTTGTTGGGATAGTTTCCTTCAGGACACAGGAAACAGTCATCTAAATCTGAAAGATGAAACAAAGTTGTCAAGCACATTCACAATTAGCTCAGTTTTCCCCAACTTTCCAAAGAATTGTATTTCAGTCCAGTAGTGGAATTCAATTTTTTTTACTACTGGTTGTGTGGGCGTGGCTTGGTGGGCATGGTGTGGCTTGGTGGACATGGCTTGGTGGGTGTGGCAGGGGAAGGATACTGCAAAATCTCCATTCCCACCTCACTCCAGGAGAAGGATACTGCAAAATCCCCAATCCCCCCCCCACTCCAGGGGAAGGATGTTAACAGTCCTTTTATCTTGTCTATCACTCAGAGGTACATGACTCCACCAGCCGTAGCACCATGTTCACCTCCTTACTATCATTTGGCATTCTCCTCTCCATTCTCACTTCTGTCTACTCTTCTCTCTGTGTTCTAATTTTCATTCCCATGGCCAGAAGCCACCAACATTTTGTCCTCTTCTTCCCTCTTACAGTTATGCATCCATCTTTAAACACAAATGACCTTTCAATATTCTCTGCTATATTGTTGAGGGAGAAAATATATTGTTCTAGAGAAAAGAATGCTTTTTGCATGATTCTTAAACAACTGGGAAGATGTTCTTTTTTAATGGTCTTTTCCTACAATTTAATTAAATAATTAAATAAAGTAAATAATGACATGAAGGAGGAGACACAATAGTAGCAAGCGCTGGTGAAATCCAATTTTTTTTACGACCGGTTCTGTGGGCGTGGCTTGGTTGGCTTGGTGGGCATGGCAGGGGAAGGATACTGCAAAATCCCCATTCCCACCCCACTCCAGGGGAAGGATATTGCAAAATCTCCATTCCCACCCCACACTGGGGCCAGCCAGAGGTGGTATTTGCCGGTTCTCTGAACTACTCAAAATTTCCACTACTGGTTCTCCAGAACCTGTCAGAACCTGCTGAATAGCACTCCTGCTTCAGTCCTTGGAATTTCCAGACTATCATCATACAGAGTGGAAAGTTGGGAAAGTCTAAGTTATTTTTTTAAAGCTGTGGACCAGGAAAGCCCTATAACTAAATTGTCAGCCTTAGTGGCACAATGATTAAAATGCAGCATTGCAGGCAAACTCTGTCCACAGCTTGGAATTTGATCCTGATGGGATCAAGATTGACTCAGCCTTAATAAATTTATATAAAATGTTCTTCAGGTGGCACCTTCCACCAGTGAGATTGGCAAAATTGTTTAGAAATTTATCACCAAAATGTTGGAAATGCAACCACGAATCAGGCACGTACTACTATATGTGGTGGTCATATAAAAAAGCAAAGGAGTATTGGTGGAAAATTCATTTATGGCTGGCAGAATTAACTGGAGAAGAAATAGAATATAAACCAGAACTATTCCTATTGGGAATTATAAAGGGGAAATATAGTAAAGGGGTAATTTATTTAATAATACATATTATAACAGCAGCAAGAATGATCTTTGCCCAAAATTGGAAAAATAAGGAAATCCCCCTTGAAGATGAAGTGATTAAAAAAAAATTGACATGCACGGAAATGGATAGATTAATGCTGTAATTGAAAAGTAGAGACGAGTCAGAATACTAAGAGATATGGAACAAATTTTATCAATGGTTGGAATGGAAAAGAGGGACGAAAAATATGAACCGACTAGAATTCATAGAATGGAGAACTAAGGTTATGTATGTAATTACAATAGAATGAAAGTGGATAAGACAAATTTTTAAGTAATATAGATAGAGGAATGATGTCTTTATATATGTAATTACTGAATAGACCAAATGTATATAAGTAGTAAGGTATATATGATATTTATCTTTTATTTTAGTATGTATGGCAAAGATAATGCCAGGACGGTTACACCGTGTCCAATGTTTTAATATGTATTTAATAAAATTCCCCCCCCCAAAAAAAGATTGACTCAGCTTTCCATCTTTCCAAGATCAGAAAAATGAGGACCCAGATTGGTGGGGGTAACATGTAAATAATGCTTCTACATTGTAAACCATCCAGACAGTGCTGTTAAGTGCTATGAGCCATGGTGGTGCAGTGATTAGAGTGCAGTACTGCAGGCTACATCTGCTGCCTGCTGCCTGCCGGCTACCAGCAATTTGCCAGGTTCAAAGTTGACTTAGCCTTCCATCCTTCCAAGGTGGGTAAAATGAGGACCCAAATTGTTGCGTGCAATATGCTGACTTTGCAAATTGCTTAGAGAGGGCTGTAAAGCTGTGTAAAGCGGTATATAAGTCCAGTTGCTAATACTATTGCTCTTGCTATGGAAGAGTATGTAAGCCTAAATACTAATGCTAAATTGGATGAGAACAGAACCTTGAAATTTAACTTTAATTAATCAGATAACATTTGATTTTATGTACATGCTTAAAATTGAATTGAGCCTTGAACTTAAACATCTCACTTCTGTTTTCCATATATTGATCTACCCTAGCTAGGAATGATCCTTAGCCTTGTTTTGTTACCAGTGAAATAAAGGAATTTTTGGAACAGTTTATTGGACCTTTTGTGAATTGGAACCATGTTGATTTGGGACAATCCCATGGTTGTTGTTGCAACCATTTCTATCTCCAGGGTAAATGTAGGGTAAATTCCCAGCCTCTGAAGCCTGGGTAGTGCTTTGAACCTATTGACCTTCACAACTAATAGATATCAACATTCTTGTATGACATTTCTTACCTGTCTGATTGGCAATTTTCCCTTCTGGACAATGAAGGCATTTGTAACAGCAAAATGGCTTCCCTTCTATTTTGATCTTGCTATACCCCAAGGAGCAATGCTCATTGCATAAAGAAAAAGGTTGAGTCTGTAAATTAAAAAAGAGCAAATTATACTCTAATTATTAGCAATTTACTAATAGATTGATAAACTTTGAGAAATATCATCTTCATAGAATGGAATGGAATGGAACGGAACGGAACGGAACGGAACGGAACAGAACAGAACAGAACAGAACAGAACAGAACAGAACAGAACAGAATAGAATAGAATAGAATAGAATAGAATAACAGAGTTGAAAGGGACCTTGGATGTCTTCTAATCCAACCCCCTGGAAACCCTAAACCACTTCAGACAAATAGTTATACAACATCTTCTTAAAAACTTCCAGTGTTGAAGGATCCACAACTTCTGGAGGCAAGTTGTTCCACTGATTAATTGTTCTAACTGTCAGGAAATTTCTCCTTAGTTCTAAGTTGCTTCTCTCCTTGATTAGCTTCTTCTTCTTCTTCTTCTTCTTCTTCTTCTTCTTCTTCTTCTTCTTCTTCTTCTTCTTCTTCTTCTTCTTCTTCTTCTTCTTCATCATCAGTTTATTTGTCAAGCATATATAAGATAACAGGTAAAAGTATAAACATAATTTGAATACATGAAAAGAGTTCTTCTCCTTCTCCTTTTCCTTCTCCTTCTCCTCCTTCTCCTTCTCCTTCTCCTTCTCCTTCTCCTCCTTCTCCATCTCCTTCTCCTTCTCCTTCTCCTAATTAGAGTTATCAAACATTTTATGCTAGTGTACAAGACTTGTCTTATCCCTTAAAATACTATTCTGGCATAATGAGCCATGCAAACTGAACTGTCTCTCATTCATCTGATAGATCTCAAGGATTAGGGCTAATTATCTAATTAGCTCAGAAGTAGGAATGACTGTTTTGAGATACTTTTTTTTCTGCAAAATCAATTTGAGCATCTAGAATATTGCTTTTCATGTACTTTTCTCCCACTGTAGTTTTAAAACTATCAGCTGCAGCATGATCTCCAAATAATTGCTTCAACAGGTGGACAAATTAATGAATCAGGTATTTGCTGATACATTTTCAACCCCTCCTTGAAAAAAAATGAATAATACGTACCTGTTTAAAAGCGTTGGGCCAGACAATGTCATCCTCTGATAGAGAGAGAAGGCTTTCTAGCTGAGCTGATGGATGTACTTTTCCAATTTTGATCCTAAGAAATGATTGATTTGGGAAGGTGACCCAGTTGATAATATTAAAGCCAGTTGCAACCTTCCTATTCTGGTCAAAGAAAATATTTTCTCCAGCACTGTTGTTAAATGAGACTTTTCTTAGGTAGTGATGAAGCTCAAGGGAAGAACATAACCGTAATTAATAAAATCACTCTGCTAAACAAATATTTTCCTCAACACTGTTAAACTAGTTACTAAGTCTGCATTACTATTAATCTTCTCATTGTTCTTATCAACCATCTCCTCCCACTTATGACTGTATGACTGTAACCTTGTTGCTGGTATCCTTAAGATTTATATTGACTGTTTCCCTATGACTATCATTAAGTGTTGTACCTTATGATTCTTGAATGTATCTTTTCTTTTATGTACACCGAGAGCGTATGCACCAAGACAAATTCTTGTGTGTCCAGTCATCCTTGGCCAATAAAGAATTCTATACTATTCTATTCTAAAAAAGCATACAAGAATGCCAAAAATCTACAGCAACATTGTTTCAGAAGATATTATTGTGTTACAAATGAAGACAAATGTATGTGTCCCAGGATAACATTGCAGGATCCAATCTGGGTAGATCACTGGAACTGGTTTAGTCTTCCAAGCTTTCAGATTCATGCTGAAGCTCATCCTCGGGGAACTTCTCTCTCACCAGAATGTGTTCTCTGGACTATTCTATGTGTGGCATTTATGTGGTGCCTGGCCTTTTAGTTGTTGACAACTAAACTCAACAACTAAAAAGCCACACACACATAAATACTACAAAGCACACACTCTGCTAGAGAGAAGTTCCCTGAGGATGGGCTCCAGCATGAGTCTGAAAGATCAGAAGACTAAAACTCTGCTCCAGTGACTGACCCAGATTGAATCCTGCAATATTATTGTGTTCCCGCAGCATTGTAATAATGCTACTGATATGATGATAATTGTGATGATCCGGGGTGTGACACAAAGGCAACACAGCCAGAGAACCAATATGAGTCCCTTTATTATCACCAACTGTGCCTTCAATGTCCCTTTCAACTCTCCGGCTGGAGAAGCTCTTCCACCAACCTGTAATAGTTTTTGGCTGACAATACTTCAGTCCCAAATGTTGTAAAGAGAAAACTTTCAACAAAAAATTCCAACAAGGCAAGACAAGGTAATTAATCTGGCCAGGCAAGCAAAATAGGGAATTCCAGAAGTGAAGTAGCACAGCAGTAAATCAAACCAGTTGGGAGGATGCCAGGAACTCAGATAAACACCAGATGAACTCAGCATTTGTTCCCGACAACCGCCCCTCTCATTTGCCTCTACTTTTAAACTCCATCAGCAGCTGTGTCTTGTAAAGAGGATCGGATCCCTTTCTTCCCTCATAAACCATGCAACCCATGTTGCTCTCTTCTCCATTCCTCCCTGCGCTGCCTAGGATGAGGAGAGAGTGGGCCTTGGTCTTCATCTGAACCCCCTCACCCTTGTTCTACCTCTCCCCTGCTCTGCCCAGCCTGACTTTGCACTTCCCCAGTTTCTTCCACAGCCAACAGATCCACTCTCTCACTCTCTGTTCCTCTTCCCCTTCGGATTCAGACTCCGACAGGGGCATGACAATAATAGTACTAATTCCTCACTACTATCGACAGAAACCAGAAGGCTGACAGAGACACACAGAAGTGCTAAGAGACCTTAACAGTCCTTTTTTCTTTTCTGGTTTTTGAAAAAAAATTATTTTTATACAAATATAAAAAAAAACAAATAAAAAGCTATCTTCAATCACAAATACAAACAGTGTGTCTGTTGGTTACAAATCTTTTGTACCTTATTCATGTATATCCATACATTTATTATCCTAATTAACCATATATTTAACTATGGCTATTTCTTCCCTCCGTTTCATTTCAGATATTCTAAAATTGAGTTAATTTATATTATACCATTCATTTCATTCTCTTAAATTGCTCCAATAATAGAACATCTTTATCTTATATTTTATATAATTCTACATTTCTTGTATTAGAAAGATCATATTTCATTTCCATATTTTTTTATCTAACCATTGGTAGAATAAGTCCCATAGCTTATAATATTGTTTATCTTCTTGTTCTTTAATTTCAAATGTCAATTTACTCATTTCAGCACACTCCATTTATTTTCTTAATAACTTCTTCTTGCGTTGGGATTTTCTCATTTTTTCAATTTTTAGCAAACACAATTCTAGCTGCTGTTAATACATTCACAATCAAATATCTCAATTCTTTATTGTATATTTCAGATACCATCCCCAATAAAAAGATCTCTGGTTTAAAGTCTATATGCTTTTGTGTCATTTTTTCCACCCATGTGTGGATTTTAGTCCAGTATCTTTTAGCTTCTACACACATCCACCGCATATGGTAATATGAGCCCGGTATCTGATGACATTTCCAACATTTATTCTTGAACATTCTGGTTATTCTCATCGGGGGTAAATGCCACCTGTAAAACATCTTATACAAATTTTCTTTATATGCAGTTGATATTGTCATTTTATAATTTTGCGACCACAATTTTTGCCCTTTCTCTAAATCAATTCTATGTCCAAAATTTTCCCCCCAAGCAATCATTGTTTCTTTAACTTGTTCATCTTCCAATTTAACCTCTAATAAATATCCATAGTTTCTTAATTATGTTTTCATCAGTACCTGTTAAAATTTTATCTAAACTAGTCAAATTATTATAAAAACCTTGTTTTATAATCTTTATCATGTCTAGACTATATTTGCAAATAAGAAAACCAGTTCATCTTTATACCTTGTACTTCTAATTCTTGCATAGATTTAAGTTCACCCTTTTCATTCAATATTTCACTATATCTAACAATTTGTCCCTTTCTAAATATTATTGAATATGAGAATGCTTCAATAGATGATAACCAGACTGGAATTTTTAAGTAATGTTGTCTTTTTACCTTCTCCCAATTTAATAGCAAAGCCTCTTGTATAAAGTGCCTTCTAAAATACCCCTGTGTTTTTGTTTCCTTGTACCACAAAAATGCATGCCAACCCAATAATTATTTATTTATTTTATTTATTTTATTTTTTAGATTTCTATACCGCCCTACTCCCGAAGAACTCAGGGCGGTGCACAGCCAAACAATAAAAACACATACAATACAAAATTTAAAAATAGAATAAAATCAAATTAAATAATTTTGGCCCCGACAAATTTAAAACCCCAAACTTTTAAAACCAATTTAAAATTGAATATATAAAATACTAAAAGATATTTAAAATTTTAAAAATCTTTTATGAAAGAGGGGGAAAATTAGGCCAGGCCGGCCTGGTGAAATAGTAAGGTCTTTAAGGCGCGGTGGAAGGTGCGCAGATCCGGGATCCTCCGTATCTCTGGGGGGAGCTCGTTCCAGATAGTAGTAATAACAAGTCATGTCCTTCTAAAGTCAATAATCTAGCATTTCTTAATGTTTCTTAATGTTATCCATTCCTTGATCCACATCTAACTTGTAGCTTGATAATATAGTTCCCAATTAGGCAAACCAAAACCTCTGTCTTTTTGGCAGAAACCCATTTTGATCAGAATGTATAAAGTTATTTAAATATCTTTTGAGTCTTTCTGCCAATATATAAGTGAAGATTTTGTAGTCTGAATGTAGCAGAGAAATAGGCCTATAATTCTTGATTTGTTGTGGGTCAGTGTCCTCCTTTGGAATAAGTGTAATATATGCTTCTAACCATGACTTGGGTAATTTCTTCTTTGACATGACTTCATTCATGACTTCTAACAATGGAAGATTCAGTGATTCCTGTAGTGTCTTATAATATTCTGCTGGCAATCCATCCGGGCCTAGTGCCTTCCCATTCTTTTATTTTTTGAGTGCTTCAGTTAGTTCCATCATTGTTATATTTCCTTCTAACATCATTTCAGTGCCTTTAGAAATCTGGGGTAAATTCGCCTTCTGCAGGTATTGTTTAACACTTTTCTCATCTATGTTCTCTTGCTCATACAGTTTTCTATAATAATCTTGTATAATTTTTTTCTTCTCTTTATTTCCATATCTAGTTTGTCCTTGGTCATCCACTAGTTGTATTATTTTTCTTGATTCTCTCCCTTTTTTCAATTTGTATGCTAACCATCTACCTGGTTTATTTGCATCTTCAAAATAGTTCTGTTTAGCACTTCAATGTTTTCTCTCTAATAATCTGCAATATTTCTTAGCGAATCTTATATGGACTTCTCTTGGTAACTTGTTTCTCATTGCATATCTTGTAGAGACTCGAAATATCTCATCTATGCCATCCATCATCTTTTCTTTAGTAATTTCTAATGCTTCTGCTAGAATTTCTATCATTATTTCTATCATGTTTTCGCCCTTTTCTTCTTCTATATTTTGGAATCTGAGGTAAAATTCTGCTCTATCCATCTCCCATCCCAATATTCCACTTTTATCTTGTTTGACCTCATCCAATCTGTTGTCAATGTCACTGATTTTTTCTCTCTCTTTGTTCTTCTTTTTCCTCAATCTTTTGGAGTCTATCCTCTTATTTCTTCATCATTTGCTGTATGTTCTCCACCTTTTCATCTGTTTTTTTCTGTTCTCTGTTCAATATTCTCTACTCTTGTGTGTATTTTTTGAATTCCTTGCCAAATCATATGCAGTGTCACTTCCTTTTCCTTCTCCTGTTGTAACATTGTCTGTATTGATCATTGTTCTCCAGATGGTGAAGAGGAAGGAGTTGGTGTAGATGAACCAATAGCTATTGCCTTTCTACACATTTCTGTAAGGTGCTTGCGAAAGGTTCAAACAAATAGAAAATCTTCAGGTTCTTCTATACCTTAATCCACTTATATATAGGACAGATGTTGTCCCAGTTACCAGTAAGCAAAAAAAAAAAAAAAAAGCTAAAAAAAAAAGACCACAAAAAAACACAAAAAAGGAAGAAAAAAAAAGAAGGTAGAAAAGGTCTATGAAAAATTTTGGAAAGAAAAAACCATACCACCGGAGGAAATTTTAATAAATAAAATTTTAGAATGTGCAGAAATGTCAAAACTAACGAATGAGCTAAACAACGACGAGGAGTTTAAACACCGAGTAATATGGGGAAAGTGGTATGAATGGTTAAATAATAGGATAAAATCATGATGTCAGGGTATGCTTATTACTGTGCTTATTATTTGCAATTTAAGTGTGTAGTATATCTGTTATATATCTTGTAAATATGTACAGACACTGCACTGCTGATCTTAGTAGAGATCTGTTGTTATTCTTTAACAAAAAAGAACCAAATAAAGTATTTACAAAACCAATAAAGTATATTTAAAAAAGAAAAGAAAAGAAAAGGTCTTCAAGCTCTTGTATGCCTTAATCCAATTTAATAAGAACAGAAAAACACCAAAAAAGAAAAGAAGAGCCAAACATGAGGAAAAAATCTATATATGTGTGAAAAATTAGAAGTCCTTCAAAAAAAAATCACAGTCTGGTTAAAGGTAATTTAATAAAGGGAGAGTGGAGAAGTAGCACCAGAAAAAGAAAAAAAAATGAGAAAAGAAAAGAGAAACATATTCTTTTGTTGAATCTCAAATATATATTTACAGCTCTCTTTCCAGAGTCACTGTAATCTTCTTCTTTTCAATCTCAGACTCCTGCCACTGACAGTTTCCCAGAAGACCACCTGGGTAAACAATCCTGCAGACTGTCTTTGATGCTCTTCCCACTATCTTATCTATGACTAGGCTCAGAGTCCTTGAAAGAATAACACAGTTGTTACTTTCTTAAGCCAAAGAAAAAAAAGGCAGCAATATTTCCAATCCACTAGATGGCAGTGCTACTTATTTTGTCCACCTTCCCTGCCTTCTTGCTGTTCAATCCACCATAAAATATAAATGGAGAGAAAGAGAAAAATAGATAAAAAGAAAACAAATAAAAGATTTATACTCAAAAGGCATTAAAAAGTTATTACTTGAGTAGATAAAGTGGAAATCTCCAATCCAATCCAGCCCAGTCTGAGTTACAAAATAAAATTGTCCTTAAGCATCCACACATAAAAATAAATAGAAAATTAAGCAAAACTACCTTTGACTCAAGCTTAATACCGTCACTTCCTCTCTTCTGTCTTCAATTTTGACTTCCTTAAGACCTCAGGGTGTTCTCTCAAAATAATCTATTTAAAAGTTCTCTCACCAAGCTGACACACTTTCACTCGATCTCTTTCATTCCAGAGCTGTCCCAACTTCAGCAGCTTTTATGGCTGCCTCTTCATCGCCGGAGAAAAGGGCTTCTCCTGGATCAACCAGGGACTTTGCGGTGTCCTTGGGATCAACAGAATGTGCCCTCCACTATCACCATCTCTACAGGACAGTGAGGTCTGAAAACAGACTGTCCAGTGATGAAGATATCAACGGCGATCTTGGAGCTTCAAGATCGCCCGTCGTACCATCGTGATGCCAGCTCCGCCCCCCAACAGTCCTTTTTTCTTGTCTATCACTCAGAGGTACATGATGCCACCAGCAATAGTACCATGTTCATCTCCTTACTATCATTTGGCATTCTCCTCTCCAGTCTCACCTCTGTCTACTCTTCTCTCTGTGTTCTAATTTTCATTCTCATGGCCAGAAGTCACCAATGTTTTGTCCCTCTTCTTCCCTCTTATAGTTATGCTTTATCTTTAAACACAAATGACCTTTCAATATTCTCTGCTATATTGTTGAGAGAGAAAATAGATGCCTCATGTGAATATTTCCAGAGAAAAGAATGCTTCTTGCATGATTCTTAAACAACTAGGAAGATGTTCTTTTTTTATGGTCTTTCCCTACAATTTAATTAAATAATTAAATAAAATAAATAGTATTGAGGAGACACAATAGTAACAAGCAGGAGTGAAATCCAAACTTTTTTACTACCAGTTCTGTGGGCATGGCTTGGTGGGTGTGGTGTGGCTTGGTGGGTGTGGCAGGGGAAGGATACTGCAAAATCTCCATTCCCTCCTCACTCCAGGGGAAGGATACTGAAAAATCTCCATTCCCAACCCACGCTGGGGCCAGCCAGAGGTGGTATTTGCCAATTTTCCGAACTGCTCAAAATTTCCGCTACCGGTTCTCCAGAAGCTGTCAGAACTTGCTGGATTTCACCCCTGGTAGAAAGCCCATTTTGATCATCAGGTTACTGAAGCATTGCATTGTTGCAAAACAGAACTGGTACCATTTTTAATAATACAAAAAATCCATATAAAATATAAATATGTCAGTTTGGGATAAGTGATATAAGTGGTTAAAAAAGAGAAACAAAAATGTATAGAAATAAATGTAGATTTATTTAATTATTTATTATTCGAATTTCTATACCGCCCTTCTCCTTTCGGACTCAGGGTGGTGAACAGCCAAAATAAAAAACATTTATACATAAGTACGATTAAAAATAGATTTAAAATAATTAAATTTGGCCCATAGTTTAAAATTTATCAATTTAAAATCCATATCAAAATTTAAAACCAACCATAAAATCAAGAGAGACCGGCTAACTGAAAAAGATGAGTTTTTAGGGCCCGACGAAAGGTCCGGAGGTCGGAGATCACTCGTATCTCTGGGGGTAGATTGTTCCAAAGGGTAGGTGCCACCACAGAGAAGGCTCTCCTCCTGGGGCTCACCAGCCGGCATTGTCTAGCCGACGGCACCCTGAGGAGGCCCTCTCTGTGGGAGCGAACTGGCCGGTGGAAGGCTATTGGTGGCAGAAGGCGGTCCCGTAAGTACCCTGGCCCTAAGCCATGGAGCGCTTTAAAGGTGATCACCAACACCTTGAAGCGCACCCGGAAGTCCACCGGAAGCCAATGCAGCTCACGCAGGAGAGGAGTCACATGGGAGCGCCCAGTCGCTCCCATAATCCCCCGCGCGGATAACTGTAAGAGACACATGTCTCAGTACTGTTAAAAAATTCTTATTATGTAAATTGGAAAAATGAAAAATAAAAATTTAAAAAAATATAAAATATAAATATGAAAAGTAATCAAAATATCTGGAACTTTGTGTCATTAAAAAAACAATCTAGGAGAAACCCACCATTTTATATGGGATCTGAAGATGTGGATATTGTGATCCATTTAATTCATTTCTCCAACCTTATATTTAATTTGGTTTCCATATTCTTTGTGGACAGATGTAGATAGGGAAGCAATATCAACTTCTAGATTAATAAATACAGAAAATTACCTGCCACACTTGAGGATTCAGAGGGTTCTGTCTCCCACCCAGGACCATTGCTCTGTGTTTGGAGTGGGATGTAAGCATGGCCTGGAGAGCATGTGCCACAGCATAGACTGCATTGTAGATACTGTAGCTTTGTCCAGTCATGCTCAATTCAAAAACAGACATTGGAAGAGTCTCCAGCTTCTCGTCCCCAGTGCATCTTTTCTCTGACTTGAGGTTTAATGTGGCTTGTGAGAAAGAACATCCAAATGCTTGTTCCCAAAAGACCCTTGACAAGCTGTCTTCCTTTCCTAGAATGCTGTTTCCCATCTGAAGAAACCTACTGAAACCTAATAATTCTTTTGATGAAGCTGAAAAAGAAAGAGCCCCATGAATGTAGTCCATACTCCAGTCTCTTTGAAATGGAACTGAAGTAGATTCCATCTGGGCTGGAAAAATCCAAACTTTGTCTTTTCTCTCAACCATTGTGTCCCAATATTCTGAAACAGAGGAGATCATTCTGAAAAGAGCCATGAGCTGGTTTTCACAATATACAATCACAACATTGGACAAACTTGTCATAATGGTTTCGTACATTTTAAGAAATGTATCCATTTTTTCTCCCACTCCATTGGAAAAAACTTCTACTAGAAGCTCTTCAATGTAATCGAAGCAGATTCCTTTCTCAGAAAACACAACCAGAACTTCCCGCAGAAATCTTTCACCAATCTCATTTGCTTGACAAATCAGCCCAATCCAGGTCCACTTAAAATGTAGCAGCAACTGGAGGATCCCCATAATCTGGAGGTGCTCATTCGGAAACATCTGATGAAAGAAAGCTGCATGAATCTCATTATTGATCAGTGGAGCAGAGCCATATGTGAGCTAAAAAGAAAATAGAAAAAGAGATAGACATAGATATAGTTATTTTAAAAAGTATCTGGGACATGGGATGTGGGGATAACCTTGAGAAGCTGGAGGCAGAGCCATAGACTAGCCAATGATCATGTAAAAAGTATCTCAATCCACAAGTAGAGGAGATATAGAAAGCCTTTTAGAAAGAACCCTTCTAAATTCTTGCAAGATTTTTTAATATAATCTATCATTTTTATTTATTTATTTATATTTATTTATAATTTAATTTGTATACCGCCCCCTCCCGAAGAACTCAGGGCGGTGTACAGCCATTCTTCCTCCAGACTCTGGGTCCTTGGTAAGACACTTCTGACATTGTTTGTTGTTCAGGAGCGGCTTGACAAGAGGAATACGACATTTGAAGTCCATGTCCAGGATCCGTCTGTGTGTGGTGGTTCTTGATGCACTGACTCCAGCCTCAGTCCACTCCTTGTGAAAGTCCCCAACACTTTTGAATGGCCTTTTCCTGACAATCCTCTCCAGGCTGCGGTCATCCCTGCTGCTTGTGCACCTTTTTCTTCCACACTTTTCCCTTCCACATAACTTTCTAATGCTTTAATACAGCACTTTGGGAACATCCAACTTCTTTTGCAATTACCTTTTGAGGCTTTCCCTCCTTATGGAGAGTGTCAATGATGGTTTTCTGCACAACTGTCAGGTCAGCAGTCTTTCCCATGATTGTGATTCCTACTGAACCAGACTGAGAGACCATTTTAAAGGCTCAGGAACCCTTTGCAGGTGTTATGGCTTAATTAGCTGATTAGAGTGGGACACTTTGAGCCTAGAATATGGAACCTTTTCACAATATTCTAATTTTCTGAGATTGTGAATTTGGGGTTTTCATGAGCTGTAAGCCATAATCATCAAAATTATGACAAATCAAGGCTTGAACTATCTCGCTTTGCATGTAATGAGTCTATCTCATATATTAGTTTCACCTTTTAAGTTGCATTACTGAAATAAATGAACTTTTGCACGATATTCTAATTTTTCGAGTTTCACCTGTATATCTTCTAAATTTTATAAATGATTCTAGATGTCTTCTAGGTATAACTTCCAACTATTTTCTCAAAGGTGATAATGGCTCCTGCTCCAGATTCCACTGAGGGATTGAGAGAGCAAGGAAGCAACTTCATTGATGTTTTGTGAAAAGGTTGTTGAATTTTTCAATGAAAATTTTCCTAGCTTCTATAGATCAGTCACTTCGACATCTGTCTGCAGACAAGCCAAAATGTATTTTGAATCATTTTGCTATTTGAATCAAAATGCTATTTTGAAATCACTGTTCAGCCATGTTTTGTTTATTTAACAGCTTTAATCTTTTAGCTGTGCAGTAAGTATTATTTTTCTTGTTATTTTAGAGTTGGGATTCTCTTAACAACTATACAGCTCTCATGGAAATCAACAAATAAATATTTCAAATTAAAATAAAAATATCTCTTAAAACAGGACATATTTTTCTGAAACCTGTTGTACAAGTTTTAGTAATTTAGGATTAAAAGTATGAAAGTATTGTGTTGCCAGATGTTATTTTATTATGTTCTGGTTGCCATTAGTTACAACAAACAGAAGAAATGTCATTCAAGAGAAAGTTACAAATCAATAACATTTCTGCTTTTTTTTCTTGAGCAGGCCTTACCTGTGGAATTTTATAAACGCTCAGGATGTCTGCCATAACCTGGGAGATATGAGAGTTGGGTCCAGCAATAACGCAAATTGAGTTTTGGTGGATGCTGCATTTGTAATTGGGAACAAATCTGTCATGTGAAGAAAGAAGCTCCATAGAAGCCAGGTAGGTCCATGTTGCCATGAAATAACTGTTAGATATCCTAAAGCCCAGAGTGCTGTTTGGCAAGATCTGAGGGTTTTCATTGATCTCCTTTACAGCAAACATCAAGGACAAGATATGTAGATGATTCTGTAGAAATATACTTCAAGGGAGGTTAATGCCTCTGTCATAAGACTTGCATTTCCACACAGATAATTTGTTACATATCAAATTAAAAACCTCTGTAAGCATTGGGTACAAAAAATAGACTGTATCCCCCCACCCAGCGGTGGGGTTCACCCAGTTCGCACCACTTCGGGAGAACTGGTTGTTAACTTTCTGAGCAGTTTGGTGAACTGGTTGTTGGAAGGGCATTATTAGGGCAGAGAACTAGTTGTTAAATTATTTGAATCCCACCACTACTCCCACCCCAAGGAAAAACTGGAAAATACTTGTCCTTGCTGTTCCATAAAGGTGAATACAGAATCAGCTCATTTGCAAATAACATGTTTGGTATCCATTTCTTTGAGATAACTAAATTATCTATACATTTTTTTTCTAGCATTGGGCTATTTCAATCATTTTGAAAGATTAAATGTTGTGCATTGAACCATATTAGAAATGGCAATATATTAAACTTGGAAAGGAAACATTGCCAGTTCCTATGGACTTCAGTTCCTAAGAAGTCCTTTCTTTGATATCAAGGATTTTTGACACTAGAAAAGTAATCACATAGGTGAGTTAGACTGTGAAACTGCCAAGGTGAAATTCAACTGAAGATGCAACATTCTTTCTACATATAATGAGCCGCAGTGGCAAAGTGATTAGAGTGCAGTACTGCAGGCTACTACTGCTGATCACCAGCTGCCAGCAATTTGGCAGATCGAATTTCACCAGGCTCAAGGTTGACTCAGCCTTCCATCCTTCCGAGGTTGGTAAAATGAGGACCCAAATTGTTGGGGGCAATATGCTGACTCTGTAAACCACGTAGAAAGGGCTGTAAAGTACTAAGAAGTGGTATATAAGTGGTCTAAGTGTTAGTGCTAGTTCTATAAGGTGAAGACCAAAGTATTGTGCTTCCGTGTTTATGTTTTCTACATGGTCACACTTAAAAGAATTCTGTCTCTCACCTTCCCCTCTTCCCTCTCTACACTGGTATAGTTAAACTCATTTCTCAACATAAGAATCTCACACAATAATCAATGAACTTATTTTTGTACCTAAAAATGTAGATTTTGCTGCAAAAGATTGATTCAAGTGTTCTTCTCAAAGCAAAACATTTGCCATTGGTGCTACTGCTTTGCTTATAGTCATTGCATAAAATGATTCTGCTTGTCTTTTGCCTCTAAATTATTTAACTCTTTTCCTTCTTTAAAGAATTTTTCTAGCTGGTTTTCTAGAATGGAGGTAGGAATTTAATTTTCCCTAGAAGCCGTATGAGAAAATGCGACCGTTGTGGACAGCTGAACACATTACTGTGAAGGTGTGTAGGAACAGATGGAATTGATAAAGAAATAAATGTTGCCTTCAAAATAAAAATGCAGTTGTATTGCATGCATGGCATATGCTTTTATACATTTGATTTCTAATTTCTAATAATCTCATGTGGGCCATGCAGGGACAGCCAAATACCAGGTCTGTTGTAGCACCATTCCACGCCCCACCCCTTTACACATCCCAAAACATCCTCTGTGAGGATCTTTTGATATGTGTCTGATTAAATAGTATATGAACTGGAAAAGTCTATGAAATAAAAATTTGCATAGACTTTACGTCAGCATAAAACAACATAGAAAGCATCCTTCAAAATCACAAACAAGCTTGGTTGAGCCTCTGGCATATACAGAAGCCTGACATATGCTTTACTTCACTGATGAATTTCAGTCAGACTCAATCAGTCAAGAGAAAAAGCTGATTGTTTGTATACATGCTATTGCTGAATTGGTGTGCCATGGAAATTTGGGATAGAAAATACTGGGAAATCAGGAAGCAGAGAATGGGGGGAAACTGCAATATCTGTTAAGTGAGACCAAGGCAAGTGCAGTTTTGTAAATTTTATGAAGTTGAAGAAATTGGAAGAAAAGGACTGTCTTTAAAAATAAGCAACACCTATGAAGTACAGTATGTCATAAAAAGAATAGACTCTCTGAGCAGTGGAAAGATGACTAAAAGGAGTTGAATTTGAAATTGCAATAATTTCTGCCCTCCCAAAACACACGGACCCGTTATCCAGCCATATTTGAGTGTTGGTAGAATTAAGAATAACATCTACATACATGGGATCATCAAGAAGTTCTTCCGATGGAATTGTTTTGAAAGTTATCAAATTAGACATCACATAGATCAGAGAAATAATTCCACCAATGTTGAAATCACCTGAATGATAAGACTTGTATTTAATAATTGGGTTGTTGTTGGTGCATTTAGCATCATGGCACATGATCTGAGGAAGCCATATTATCAGCCACAACCTGAAGTATAACATAGCAAAACAGCTGTCCTTTCCACAAATGATCATTGATATGGCTTATAGATATATGATTTGAATCCAGATCTGTTTTTCTGGGTTGATCTGAATGCAGAAATGTGTACCCAAAACAGTTAGACTCATGTAGTCTTTCTGTTCAAGCTACTTGAATATGTTTAGGAACAAGGAATATTGATAACAGTAGTCTTGGTTGTGTTCTTGCTTTGCTCTGTCTTTGGAAGTCCTTAGGGTCCAGAGGAATAGAATTAAACAGGGTCAATTATGGGGTACAATTATGAGTTGTTCAACTCTTTCTGAAATTGATCTCACTTTGGTGTAAAGGATTTGTGGCTTTCTGTATAGCAGCAAGGGGAAAAATAGATTGCAGTCAAGGTCACAGAAGGTCACAGAAAATGAATTACCATATTTTTTGGACTATAAGACACACTTTTTTATCTCCCAAAAGGGGGTGAAAATGTTTGTGCGTCTTATAGACCGAATTTTGCCGAAGCCCCATCCATCTGCCAGCCATTTTTTGTCCTCCACGTGCCCTGTTTTTGCCCCCCCTTTTTTTTCTTGGTCTTTTTCAGGCCTTTTTGGCCCATTTTCAAGGCTTTTTTTGGCCTTTTTTGAGGCTTTTTTTTTTGGCCTGTTTTGGAGGCTTTTTCGGCCCATTTTCAGGGCTTTTTTCAGCCTGTTTTTGAGGCTTTTTGTGCCCATTCTTGAGGCTTTTTTGGCCCATTTTTTCAGAAAAAATGGGCTGAAAAAAGCCTAAAGAATGGGCCAAAAAGCCTCAAAATGGGCCAAAGAAGCTTCGAAAATGGGCCCAAAAAGGCCTGAAAAATGAGCCAAAAAATGCCCTGAAAACCAGGCCCCAAAAGTCTCAAAAACTGGCTAAAAAAAGACTGGAAAAGGGCTGAAAAAAGGCCCCCAAAAAGGGAGGCCAAAAACTTTTGTTGTTGTTGTTGTTTTCCTCTTCTAAATTTAGGTGCATCTTATAGTCAGGTGTGTTTTATAGTCTGAAAAATATGGTACTAACATAATGAGTGAAAAAGATTGAGTTTGCCAGCATTGTACTGGTACCAACGGCATGACATGGAAATCAGTTTTATATTTAGAATATGCTTTCAAAATAAGAAAACAACCAACATTCAATCAAAAAGCTTCATTATTTATCAAAAACATATATGGTTTTAGGCCACCAAGAGTGTGTTACTCTTCTTTAGTCAGCAATCCTTTAAATAATTGTAATAAAATGAGTTCATGTGACAAAATGTATGTTCAGCATTATTGTTGTTCTGGTTGATTAATTCAGTCTTGACTCGTGGTATTAATAAAAACAAGTCCACGGAGTTTTCTTCATAACATTTTCAGAAGTTGTTTGTCATAGCAAATGGCAAGTGGGCATCACGCCAATATAAGAGAAAGTGCAGGAGAAATGCCTAGAATGGTATGGCCATGTTGTACAAGCAGCACTGAACACCATTGGCTACCTCACTTTCCACTTTAATATAGATGGCAAGTGCAATAAATAGAGGGCTGAAGCAAAGATGGCAAGATACAATAAATGTGGACATGAAAAATGCCCAGTTAGACTTGGATGCTGCATTTGATCGCACAATATGGTATTGATCCAAAAAAACAGACCCTGCACTTGCAGGAAAAATGTGATGATGATGATGATGATGATGATGATGATGATGATAATGATGATGATGATGATGATTGCCCTAGTCTTCTTCCTGAAGTTGAGAGGCAGTGACTAGCTCAGTTATCTGGTTAACCTTGTGACAAGCACAAATCAGAACCCACAGTCTTCCAGGTTTGGTCCAGTTGCCACAATCCAATCTTTGGATGATTGAGTCTTAATTGATATATTGCAAGCTATTTTGGGGAGAAACCCCTGAAATTGGTATGGTAAGAGTTGGTACATTCCAACAATTTTCTGACTCTCCGCCTACGTAATTCTCCTCTGATTGATGAAGTTGCTTGGATGACCAAAGTAACATCTCAAAATTAACAAAGTATGGTCCAGTTGCCATGATTCAATCTTTAGACACCTTTGGCCTGGATGATTGAGTCTTCATTGATGTACCAGTTTCTTATCTAGCATTTTCAACCACTACACTAAATTGCTTTATTTTCTATTGCTTTCCTAGGTATTTGCAATATAAGAAGATTTCAGTTTGGCAAGTGAAATACAAGGAGAACAGAAATTACTTTAAAAAGAATAAAAAAAAACAGTTTTCAAATATTTAAAATTCTCCCACAAAATGCTTAACCTATCCTGTGCCTGTAAGGACCATTGAGGCCTTTGAACTGTGTTGGAGAAGACATCCTGCGAGTCCTGCAGCAGACAGAGAACGAGGTGGCTGGATGGAGTCACTGAAGTAGTCGGCGTAAGCTTAAATGGACTCAGGAGGATGGTAGAAATCAGGAAGGCCTGGAGGAATGTTGTCCATGGAGTCGTGATGGGTTGGACATGACTTCACAACTAACAACAAAAGTATTTCACAGCTTTCTTTCACCAATGAATTTTTTAAACATGAATATGGATTTGTCGTATGTTAGTTCTCACTAAGTAAAATTTCCTACATCTAACATCTACCAACTGTAATAAAGTACTTATTCATTTATTATATTGTATCTGAAAAAAAACATGCTTCTTAGTTCAGTTCATGATACATACAGATGGAGGTATGTTTAATTTAGCTACATTTCAATGCCTGCATTATAACATTTAGTTATGTGGCTTTATCCATGCTACACCTGAAAAGCTGTGTAGAAGAAAATAATTGATTTCACCATGTAAATAATTTGTGGCTTTCTATGCAGCAGAAAATAACTCTAGTTATTATTTAATAACCATACCAGACACTAATTTTTGGTAAGTCAAGTAATGGCTTTCCTTAGCTATTATTGTTATATTAGCATCTATCCTAGGCTATAAAACAGAATTCATTATTATATTATTATTTACAAAGGTTGTAACAACTCATCTTCAAAATATTTATAATAAGAGGCTGGTAAATCATCTGATTGAAATTCTTGACTATTTCTGCCTTTTTTAAAATAACTTTAGAAAACTCCCTTCTTGTTATAGATCCATTCATTGTTTTTCTTTATCTGTGATCTTTGTTAAATTTTGTTTCTTGTCAGGAACCTTCTTCTCCTTTATATAATTATATTGATGAGGGGTTGTTGTTGTTTTTTTTGCATTTTTAAATGATCCTGCCAGGGTTCCAAGTAACATCCCCAACGAAAGAAGACTCAGAGGCTAGAAGTTCCTCAAAGTTCCATTTTAATAGAGATGTCATATTGGCACATCTGGGAAAACCTGGATCTGAAAGCTTCCAGGTTTTCCCCACCCAAAAGAAAGTCCAAGCCCCTGCCCCAGCACCCACATGTCCATCACATGGTCCAATCAATGCACCGTCCCAACTGGAGATGCCTCCCAGTCACACCACTCCAGGTGCACAGCAAAATGTCCTTGGCTCTCAGAGAAAAGAATGTTATTATGGCTAGTTATCCCTACAATTCCATGCAATCCCCTCTCCCAGTTTCCCACAGCACTAAGTGTGGCAGCTCTGAAGATCCAAAGTAAAAGATGGCTTCCATGACTGACAGATTCATTATTATGGTATTCCATCTTGCAATTTTAATAGTTTTTCTCTTTTTTTTTGATCCTCAATTTATATGCCAACCATTTTGCTAGCTAATTTGCAAACTGAAATTCTTTTGTTTTCCATAAACCACTTTTACCTCCATTTTAGGCAACTGCTATTGAAGGAGTTTAATTTGGTGTGAAATGACTTTCCCCCCTGCCCCTCCCAATGGATTTCTTTAATTCTTCTCCTTTTGTTTTTATCTGATCTAAAATCACTTGTGTATTCTGATCTCTCTCTCTCTTTTGAATTTTCTATTAAGTTGTATAAAATGTCCTCTCATAAAAGTACATCTTTCCATTCTTACATCTAAATCATTCTTATATCTGCATCTTTATTAAGATTATTGTAAAAAAAGAAACACCTTTTCCCCCTAATTTTCCATTACTTTTCTTTCTGTAATGTTTCATTTAAACTCCAGTTGGAGGAAGTAATTATTCTTTTAAATGCTAAGAGAAATTTAAAGTTAAAGCTGACTTTAGCAAATTGTAAGCAGTTCATCAGAATGAAGCTTGATTTAGTAAGAAGCTTACTCAATAAGTAACAATAAAACTTGGCGTTCATTTTTGTTTTTTTATCAGTTGCTCCTTTCTGTTCAATTCAGGCTTCAGAACAATAACGTAGCATTTGGGGAAAAAGATGCAACCCAATAATCCAGCTGCAGAAGCCAAAATGGAGAAGACCTCTACAGCTACCATGTACTTTCCCTTGGTGCTTAGATAGGTGGGGACAAACAACATCCAGACACTGCAAAAAACAAACATGCTGAAAGTTATAAATTTGGCTTCATTAAAGCTATCTGGTAATTTCCTGGCTAGGAAGGCCACAGTGAAGCTGATAAAGGTCAAGAACCCCATAAATCCTAGCACAATATAAAACATGATGACTGAACCTTCATTACATTCCAGAACTATTTCTCTAGCCATGGAATGCTTGTCTGAATTTGGAAATGGGGGAGAAATTGCCAGCCACACACTGCAAATGGTGATTTGTACCAGGGAGCAAGATGACACAATAGTGTTGGCTAATCTTTTCCCTACCCATTTCCTTATTTTAGAGCCTGGCTTGGTTGCCATGAAAGCAAGAACCACTATGATTGTTTTGCCCAATATGCAAGAAAGGGCCACAGAGAAAATGATGCCAAAAGCAGCTTGTCTCAAGAGACATTTTACTTGGTTAGGTTGCCCAATGAAAAGCAAAATGCAAAGGAAAGAGAACAGGAGAGCAATGAGAAGAATGTAGGTGAGGCTCCTGTTGTTGGCTTTGACAATGGGAGTCTCCTGGTGTTTAATGAAGATCCCCAACACCACAGTTGATATGAAAGAAAAGAAGAAAGCAACAGTGGTCAAGATGATTCCCAGGGGTTCTTTGTAAGACAAGAAAGTTGTGCGTTTTTTTATGCAAACAATCTGATCCTTGTTGGGATAACTTTCTTCAGGACACGGGAAGCAGTCATCTGAATCTGGAAGAGGAAACACTATTGTCAAGCATATTGAGAGTTAGCCCAGTCATCCCCAACTTTCAGAAGCATTGAATTTCAATGCTTCAATTACCTGGAATTTCGGAACTGTCACCATACAGAGTGGGAGTTTGGGGATTTGATATTATTTGTAAGGCTTTAGACCAACAAAAGTGTGTGTAGTCACAATGTACATTGCAATGTACGGCTATGAAAGTTGTACCATAAGAAAAGCTGGGTGCCAAAGAATTGAGGCCTTTGAACTATGGTGCTGGAGAAGACTCCTGCGAGTCCCTTGGACTGCAAGGCAATCAAACCGGTCAGTCCTAGTGGAGATCAACCCTGATTGCTCTTTAGAAGGCCAGATCCTGAAGATGAAACTCAACTACTTTGGCCACCAAATGAGAAGGAAGGACTCACTGGAGAAGTGCCTAATGCTGGGAACGATTGAGGGCAAAAGAAGAAGGGGACGACAGTGAACGAGGTAGCTCGATGGAGTCACTGAAGCAGTAGGTGTGAGCTTAAATGGACTCCAGAGGATGGTAGAAGACCGGAAAGCCTGGAGGAACATTGTCCATAGGATCGCGATGGGTCGGACACGACTTTGCAACTAACAACAACAACATTGACCAGGAAAGTTCTAAAAATAAATTGCCTGAGATAAGATTCTTTGAAATTACTTTGACATTATTTAGTGTCCAAAAGAGACCTACATCCAGCTCCACTTGACTTTGACTCCACTTCAACTTGTGCCAAGTTGCTTTGACTTTGATTATTGCATTGGTTATATGGTATTAAACTCAGAATGCTTTTGAACTCTAGCCTGGCTCCTGGTTTCTTGAGTTTGACTATTGTTCTTGCATTCATTCCTATCCCTAGAGCAGTGGTGGTTCTATCCAGTTCAGGCGAATCTGTAGTGGCGGCGGTGGAAGGCTCTGTCCACCCACCCAGACATCATCACATCCCATTTTTAATGCTCTGCGCATGTGCAGAAGGTCCTGCGCATGCGTGGAGGTGGTGCATGTGCTCACATTTGCAAACCAGTAGCAAAGGTAAGTGAATATTATCCCCTGCCCCAGAGTCTATAGGGGTAAAGACTCCAGCCTCTGAAGCCTGGGTAATGCTTTGAACCTATTGACCTTCACAACTAATAGATATCAACATTCCTGTAATATTTCTTACCTGTCTGGTTGGCAATTTTCCCTTCTGGACAACGAAGGCATTTGTAACAGCAAAATGGCTTCCCTTCTATTTTGATCTTACTGTAACCCAAGGCGCAGGGATTGTTGCACAAAGAAGGAGGTTGAGACTGTTAAATAAAACAAAGAGCAATACAAACAGAATTTAAACATTAGCAGTCTAGAGATGACTTTCTTTAAGGAATCTTTTCTTTCCTTTTTCAAATTATTTACTAAGACTGTATTACTATTATTCTTCTCATCCTTTCTAGTACCTACCTCTTCCCATTTATGGCTATAACCAGATTGCTTCTATCTTTACAATTTATATTATTCTTTTGTTTTCTAGTATGATTTGATTGCTTATTAGAATCCTATGACTATCGCTAAGTGTTGTATCTTATGATTCTTGATGAATATATTTTATTTTTTCTTTATCTACACTGAGAGCATATGCACCAGTGGTGGGATTAAAAAACTTTTTCTACCACTTCTGTGGGCGTGGCTTGGTGGGCGTGGCAGGGGAAGGATACTGTAAAATCTCCATTCCCACCCCACTCTAGGGGAAGGCTACTGTAAAATCCCCATTTCCTCCCAATCAGCTGGGACTTGGGAGGCAGAGAATAGATGGGGTGGAGCCAATCAGAGCTAGTATTTACCAGTTCTTCAAACTACTCAAAATTTCTGCTACCAGTTTTCCAGAACTGAATACCACCTCTGATATGCACCAAATTCCTTGTGTGTCCAATCACACTTGGCCAATAAAGAATTCTATTCTATTCTATTCTATTCTATTCTATTCTATTCTATTCTATTCTATTCTATTCTATTCTATTCTATTGATTAGAATTATTAAAATTCTGTGCTTTTCTTATCTCTTAAAATGACATACTGCAAATGGAACTATCTCTTATCCATTTGATAGATCTCAAGGATTAGGACTAGTTAACACAGAGATAGGAAGGACTATTGACTATGCATCAAGGATATTGCTTTTCATGTACTTTTCTCCCACTGTAGTTTTAAAACTATCAGCAAATATCACATTCATTAATTTGCCCAACTCTTCAAGCAAGTTATTTGGAGATCAGATCTAGTACGAACAGTGAATCACTTCTTGAAAAATGAATTAAAAAAATACCTGGTTGAAAAGGTTGGGCCATACAATGTTATCTGCTGATAGAGAGAGAAGGCTTTCAAGTGGAGTCGATGGATTTACTTTTCCAACTTTGATCTTACGAAAGGATTGATTTGGGAAGGTGACCCAGTTGATAATATCAAAGCCAGATGCAACTTTTCCATTCTGGTCAAAGAAAATGTTTTCTCCAGCACTGTTGTTAAATGATACTTTTCTCAGGTAGTGATGAAGCTCAAGGGGAAAACATGGTAGTAATTTATAAAAATATACAAAAAATGGTATGTGTATATATATATACACATATACATAGGGATGCAGTGGCTCAGTGGCTAAGTCACTAAGCTTGTCGATTGAAAGATGGCAATTCAGTGGTTCGAATCCCTAGTACCCCGTAATGGAGTGAGCTCCCATTACTTGTCCCAGCTTCTGCAAACCTAGCAGTTTGAAAGCACATAAAAAATGCAAGAAAAATAGGGACCATCACCTTGGTGGGAAGGTAACAGCATTCTGTGCGCCTTTGGTGTTTGGTCATGCCGGCCACATGATCACGGAGATGTCTTCGGACAACGCTGGCTCTTCAGCTTTGAAACAGAGATGAGCACCACCCCCTAGAGTTGGAAACGACTAGCACATATGTGTGAGGGGAATCTTTACCTTTACCTTTATACCAGGGGTGAAATGTTCCCGGTTCAGACCAGATCACCTGATCTGGTAGCGATGGAGGGGGTGGTTCAGAGAACTGGTAGCAAAAATCCCTGCCCCCCCCCATGCCCAGCTGAGCTGCACAATCATCAGAGGCTTTTTCTTTTAATTTTTAAAAGCATTTTTTCTATAACCTCTTCGGCCGAAAAAATGCTTTTAAAAAAAAAAAAAAGCCTCTGATGATCACGCAGCTCAGCTGGGATCATCAAAGGGATCATCAGCTGACGATCCAAGCTGAGTTGCCTGATCGGCAGAGGCTTTTTTTCTTTTAAATGCCTCTGACTATCCAAGCTGAGTTGCCTGATCGTTAGAGGCATTTAAAAGAAAAAAAAGCCTCTGCCGATCAGGCAACTCAGCTGGGATCGTTAGAGCCTTTTGAAAGCATTTTTTTACAACCTCTTCACTGAAGAGGTTGTAGAAAAAATGGATTTAAAAGGGAAAAAATGGCCACGCCCACCCAGTCACATTACCCCCCACCAAGCCACGCCCACAGAACAAATTTTAGATTTCACCACTGCTTTATACATATAAACATACATACATACATACCAGTGGTTGTTCCTGGTTCAGTCCGGTTCTATAGAACCAGTAGTAAAACTGGGAGGAGGCTCCGCCCACCCGCCATGATGCCATCATGGGTGATCTGAGCATGCGCGTGGTCCCATTGCAAACCAGTAGTAAAGGTAAATAGAACCCACCCCTGATACATACATACAATTTCAGAAGATATTATTGTGGTCCCAAAGTACGTTAATAATAGCACTAAATCATCAGTTCTATCAGCATCAGCCTTACTATTGTTGGACAACTATACCATTCTCTTGTATCTCTGTCCTTGCCATTGTGTCCCTGCTCTTTGTGTTGTAATTTTCATTCTTAGTACCTGAACCCAGCAACATTTTCCCTGTTCTTTCCTTTTATAGTTATGCATCCATCTTTAAAGCAAAAATGGCCTTTCAAAATTTTGTACTATGTGTGTTGAGAGACAAATGGATGCATCATGTGCCTAAATTTCTCCAGAGAAAACAGTGCTTATCACACCACTTCTAAATATCAGGACTCTGTCTGAGTTCTGATAGTTATACTACTAAAGGGAAAGTTCATTGGGTGACGTCTCCTTTTTAGAATCTTTGCTTATAATTTAACAAAATAACCTAATACAGGAGACACCATTGTACCAACCCCACTTTGATCAGCAGATGACTAAAATGTTGTATTATTACAAAGCAGAACTGATGCCAGTTATCAATACTGTAAAAGAAATCTATGTAAAATATGAATATGAAGAGTAATCAAAATATCTGGAACCTTGTGTCATAAAAAACAATCTGGGAGGACCAGCGTTTGGTATGAAAAGATGTGGATATTATGTCCTCTAGAAAGAGTGCAGAGAAGAGCAACAAAGATGATTAGGAGACTGGAGGTTAAAACATATGAAGAATGATTGCAAGAACTGGGCATGTCTAGTTTAATGAAAAGAAGGACTAGGGGTGACATGACAGCAGTGTGCCAATATCTCAGGGGCTGCCACAAAGAAGAGGGAGTCAAGCTATTCTCCAAAGCACCTGAGGGCAGGACAAGAAGCAATGGGTGGAAACTAATCAAGGAGAGAAGCAACCTAGAACTAAGGAGAAATTTCCTGACAGTTAGAAGAATTAATCAGTGGAACAACTACTTAAGTTGTGAATGCTCCAACACTGGAAGTTTTTAAGAAGATGTTGGATAACCATTTGTCTGAAGTGGTGTAGGGTTTCCTGCCTAAGCAGGGGGTTGGACTAGAAGACTTCCAAAGTCCCTTCCAATTCTGTTATTCTATTCTATTCTATTCTATTCTATTCTATTCTATTCTATTCTATTCTATTCTATCTGATTGACTGAATAACCAACAATTGGTTTATATAAACTTGAACAGCTGTAGATTGGAAAGCAATATCATCTGCTAAATTAATAAATACAGGAAATTACCTGCCACACTTGAGGATTGAGAAGCTTCTGTTTCCTTCTAGCAGCAATTGCTCTGTGTTTGAAATGGGGTGTAAGCATTGCATGGAGAGCATGTGCCACAGCATAGACTGCATTGTAGATACTGTAGCTTTGCCCAGTCATGCTCAGTTCAAAAACAGAGTCTGGAAGATCATCCAGATTCTCTTTTCCAGTGCACCGTTTCTCCGGCTCTGGGCTTAAAGTGGATTTTGAGAAGAAACATCCAAAGGCTTGTTCCCAAAAGATCTTCGAAAAACTCTCTTCAATTTCTATAACACTGTTTCTTGCCTGAAAAAATCTATTGAATCCTAATAATTCTTTTGATGAAACTGCAAAAGAAAGAGCCCCATGGATGATGTCCATACTCCAATCTCTTTGAAATGGAACTGAAGTATACTCCATCTGGGCTGGAAAAATCCAGACTTTGTCTTTTCGCTCAACTCGTGTATCTAAATATTCTGAAACAGAGGACATCATTCTGAAAAGAACCATGATCTGGTTTTCACAATACATAACCACCACATTGGACAAACTTGTCATCATGGTTTCGTATATTTTAAGAAAGTTATCCATTTTCTCTTCCAGCTCACTTGAGAAAACTTCTAGCACAAGCTCTTCAATGTAATCAAAGCAGATTCCTTTTTCTGAAAACAGGATCAGAACTTGCCTCAAAAATCTTTCACCAATCTCATTTGCTTGACAAATCACCCCAACCCAGGTCCACTTAAAATGTAGCAACAACTGGAGGATCCCCATAATCTGGAGGTGTTCATTTGGAAACATCTGATGAAAGAAAGCTGTATGAAACATGTTATCGATCACTGGAGCTGAGCCATATGTGAGCTAAAAAGAAAATAGAAAATAGACATAGACAGGGGTGGGCTTCAAAAATTTTAGCAAGGGGTTATCTGGCTGGTTTCTGGGTGGGCATGGCCATGATGGATGTGGCCTAGTTGGCCTCCTGCACCATGGTGAAGGGGCAGTTTTTGCCCTCCCTGGGCTCTGGAGGCTTTCCTCAAGCTTCTGGGAGGGCAAAAACAGCCACCCCAGGCTCTGGAGGCCCATTTCTGGCCTTCCCAAATGTCCAGTAGGTCTATTTTTCACCCTCCCTGAGCCTCCATGTGCACCCTGCACTTACCTGCATCCAAAACAGGCTGCATGGGGACTCTTGGGAAGGGTGGGTGGGCAGGGCCAGCCAGGAATGGGATTTGGGGGTTCTCTGAACTGCACAGAATCTTAGGTAGAAGTTCTCCTGAACCCCTGCGAACCCACAGCAGCCCACCCCCGGACATAGACATAGGTATTTTAAAAAGTATATTGCACATGGGATGTGGGGACAACCTTGAGAAGCTGGAGGCAGAGCCATAGACTAGCCAACAATCATGTAAAAATTATCTCAGTCCACAAGTATAGGAAACATAGAAAGCCTTTCAGAAAGAACCCTTCTAAATACTCTAATTCTTGCAAGATTGTTTAATATAATCTATCATCTTTAGAACTTTTCTAATGGTCCAAAAACAGAAATTCGATAAAGAAGCATCATTATTATGAGTGATGTGAATGCCAACTAGAAAACAATCGACTTTCGCCAGTGGAACCATAGAGCATAAAGCTGGAAGGCAACTTGGAAGTAATTTGGAGGGAGGACCGGCATACCATCTCTGACACTTGTAAATCCATGAGACAGACTCAGAGGTGGTATTCACCCAGTTCAGACCGGTTTGGGTGAACTGGTAGCGCTGATAATCAGTTGGTTCCGCCCACTCGCTCCCACTCTATCCTGTCTTTTAGTTCCTGCTTTGTAGCTCAACTCAATCATGCGGCACAGCTGATTTTCCCCCCTCTCGCTGTTCTACGTACCATTGCTGACTTGCAAGGTAAGCAGCTGAGCTTCTAAATGCTCCATTTTCAGTGCTGCAACCAAGTGCCTTAGGTGCATGCACACGCAAAGTGTGTGCTCACAGAAGAGGTTGTTAAACCGGCAGCATCCCACCACTGAACAGACTGTTTTTCTGCTTAACGGCTACCTCAGAAATACTCCAGTGAAGAAATTCCCAGTTCTTTGGGGCTCAGGGACATATTTTGAATTTTGTGAACACATCACGAGGGCTTCCAAGCAATATGAGATATGAGAGTGTATTTAGGAGATGTCTTGTTCATTCACAGGATCTGTATTTCTGAGAAGATAAATGGATAAGTATTTCCTTCCTTCCTTCCTTCCTTCCTTCCTTCCTTCCTTCCTTCCTTCCTTCCTTCCTTCCTCCTCCCTCCCTCCCTCCCTCCCTTCCCTTCCCTTCCCTTCCCTTCCCTTCCTTTCCTTCCTTCCCTAAAAATAGCTATATAGATATAGAAATTCTGGGACAATTTTTGCAGTACATATAGTCCTCAATTTATGACCACAATTGAAACTCACATCACTAATGTAGTTGTTACATTACTGAATTTTATGATTTTTTTTTCTGCATTAAGGTTGTTAAGCAATTCAAATGAAACCAATTTGTTCTTATGGTTAAAGCACTAGGCAAGAAGCTAGAAGACTGTGACTTCTAGTCTGATTTCAGGCATAAAAGCCGGCTAGGTGACTTCAGCCAGTCGCTCTCTCTCAGCACAACTTATTTCACAGGGTTGAAAATGGGAGGAAAGAGAATTGTGTGAATTCACTGCCTCAACTTATTTATAAAAATAGAGAAAATTTCATACAACATAGAATAATAGAGTTGGAAGGGACCTTAGAGATCTTGTAGTCCAACCCCTGCTCAAGCAAGAGACCCTATATCATTTCAGACAAATGGTTGTCCAGTCTCTTTTTGAAAGCCTCCAGTGATGGAACACTCACAACTTTTGAAGGCAAACTATTCCATTGGTTGATTGTTCTCACCATTAAGAAATTTCTCCTTAGTTCTAGGTAGCTTCTCTCTTGGTTAGTCTCCACCCATTGTTACTTGTCTCACCTTTTGTTATTTTGGAAAATACCTTGATGCCTCATCTTTGTAGGAGTCCCTCAAATATTGGAACATTGCTATTATGTCTCCCCTACTCCTTCTTTTCATTAGAGTAAACATACCCAATTCCTGTAACCATTCTTTTTATGTTTTAGCCTCCAGGCCCCTAATCATCTTTGTTGCTCTTCTCTGAACTCTTTCCAGAATCTCAACATCTTTTTTATATTGTGGTGACCAGAACTGGATGCAGTATTCCGAGTGTGGTCTTACTAAGGCTTTGTAAAACAGTACTAAAACTTCATGTGATCTTGATTCTATCATTCTATTAATGCAGCCTAGGGTTGCATTGGCTTTAAAGAAGAAGTCACATATCAATAGGGTTTTTGTTTTTTCTGGAGCAGCAATTACCTGTGGAATTTTGTAAATGCTCAAGATGTCTTCCACAACCTGACTGATAAAAGAATTGGGTCCTGCAATAATACAAACTGCATTTCGGTCAACGTTGCATTTATAGTTGGGAACAAATCTGCCTTGTGAAGAAAGAAGCTCCATAGAAGCAAGGTAGGTCCATGTTGCCATGAAATAACTGTTAGATATACCAAAGCCCAGAGTGATGTTTGGCAAGATCTGCAGATTTTCATTGATTTCCTTTGCAGTAAAGATCAAGGATAGGATATGCTGGTAGTTCTGTAGAAACATCCTTCAAGAGAGTTTAATGCCTCTGTCACACACTTGCATTTCCAAACATATACATATACATATACATATACACATACACATACACATACACATACACATACACATACACATACACATACATACATACATACATACATACATATATATATATATATATATATATATATATATATATATATATATATATACATTTCAAATTAAAAATCATTGTTAACAACAAGGTTAAAAAAATAGACTGTACCCCACCCTCCAAGAAAAATGGTATAGAAAATACTTGTCTTCACTGTTCTAAAGTGAAATACAGAATTATCTTTTTGGCAGATAACCTGTTTGGTGTCCATTTTCTTCAGAAATGTGAATTATTTATTTTATTTTAATATTTTTATTGCATTGGGATATTTCTACCTCATTTTTAAATATCAAAGGTTTTACATTGACACCAGATTTGAAAAAAGCAATATGTAAAACTTGGAAACAAAACATTTTCAGCTCTTAGGGTGTCTTATTTTTGATATTAAGGGTATTTGATTAATGAAAATATATATGTGTGTTTTCTATGTGGTCAATATTTAAAAATTCCACCTTCCTTTCCATCATTTCTTCCCATTTGACTTCTCTCTCTCCACTCTACTCCAGTGTAATTAAACTCCTTTCTCAACCTATTAATAATGTCATGCAAAAATTCATAATTTAATTTTGAAGAAATATCTAGGATTCTCAGCTATCTAGGACTGATTCAGGTATTCTTTTGGAAGCAAATTGTTTGCCATTTGTACTACTACTTCTTTGTTTACTGTCATTGTATAAAATAATCCTCTTTATCTCTCACCTCTAAAACAATTCTCCCACTTTTCTGGATCCCTCCTTAAAGAATTATTCTAGATCACTCTACTGAGTCATCTCCCACCTCCAACGCCACCCCCCAAAACATCTCTCAGGACCCTATTCTATATATCTGAAGAAATGAGTTATAGACTGGAAAAGTACATGGGATAATAGTGTGTTTAGATGTTAAGTTGTCATAAAACCATCATAACGATTATCCTTCACAACTGAGGACAAATTTGGCTGGGTTTCTAGCAGAACAGAACAGAATAACAAAGTTGGGACCTTGGAGGTCTTCTAACGTAACCCCCTGCTCAAGCAAGAGATCCTATATCATTCCAGCCAAGTGGTTTTCCAATCTCTTCTTAAAAGCACCCACAACTTCTGAAGGCAAGGCATAGTTAATTATTCTCAATGTTAGGAAATTTCTCCTTAGTTCTAGGTTGCTTCTCTCCTTGATCAGTTTCCATCCATTGTTTTTTGTCTTGCGTCTGGTGTTTTGGAAAATAGTTTGACCTCCTTATCTTGGTAGGAGCCCCACAAACATTGGAACACTGCTATCATGTCACCCCTAGTCCTTCTTTACACTAGACTAGACAATCTCACTTCCTGCAACTGCTCTTCATATGTTTTAGTCTCCAGCCCTCTAATCATCTTTGTTGCTCTTCTCTATATTCTTTCCAGTGAATCAACATCTTTTTTATAATATGATGACCAAACCGGATGCAGTTACATCTGTTACATCTACTTCAATAATTCACTGAGGAATTCCAGCCAGACTCAATCAAGAAAAAAAGTAACCTGGAACCATAAAGAATAGTCATATTTACAAAATAGAAACAGTAGAAATGCATAGAGTGATGTATTTAGACTCCAAACTGAAATGTTTAAGTGAAGGTTTATCTCAGAAATTTCTGTCCAGGATGGGATCTAATCAGTTACAGATACACAGTACTAGGCTGGAAGTGGTGTATCATGGAAATTTTTGGGTAGAAGCACTTGGAAATTAGGAAGCAGAGGTTGGATAAAACTCAGATATCTTTTAAGCAACACCCAGACAAGTACAGTTTTATAAAATTTATGAAGATGAAATAAAGTGGAAAAACGTTATCTTGCTATTAACCAGTTATTATGAAGTATGTAAGGAAAAGGGAGGACTATCCAAGCAGAGGAAGGAGAATTGAAAGGAGATGAAATTTAAATTTCAATCATTTCTGATATATTGACCCACTCTCAGTTGAGTGCTGGTATAATTAAGAATAATAGCTACATACACAGGATCATCAAGAAATTCTTCGGATGGAATTGTTCTGAAGGTAATCAGGTTAGACATTATGTAAATCAGATATATAATGCCACCAATGATGAGATCGCCTGAATGATAAGACTTGTATTTAATACTAAGATTGCTGATGGTGCATTTAGCATCATAGCATATAAACTGTGGAAACCATATTATCACCCATAGCATGAAGGCTAACATAGCAGATCACATTACTATGAATGTTTCTCTTGAGCTGAACACAAAAATGTATAGCAAAAACAGCTTCATTGTTCAGGCTTTATGTTTGAATATGTTTAGGAACAAGAAATATTAATAACATCAGTTAGTCTTGCTTGGGTTCCTGTTTTGCTTTGCTGTTTGGAACTCTCTAGGGTCCAAAGGAATAGAATTAAACATGGTAAATTATAGGGCATAACAATGCTTGCTTAGCTGTTTGTGATATTGCAAAAGAAGATAGGTGATGTTACCTTGGTGTAAAAGGTTTGTAGCTTTCTGTGTAGCTGCAAGAAAAAAAACAACATATTGCAATCAAAGGCAAAGGAGACCAAATTAATAAGATAATGAAGTACAAACAAGTTCACCAGCTCTGTATTGGTACAGATAGCATGACATCATAATCAATATGTGTGTGTATGTCTAGATAGATAGATAGATAGATAGATAGATAGATAGATAGATAGATAGATAGATAGATAGATAGATATGTAAGTTTTCACGGGTATATATGTGTGTACAGTTAATATCTCGGGTTTCTTCCCATGTAATTGTAAACATATCCTTAAAAGAGTACTAGCGACGTTTCGACGAAATCGCATTCATCATCTTCTGGCTGAAGTTCTCGGTTTGGTGCTTATGGGCAAACTGTGTGATTGTAACTGACATTTTTCTATGAAAAGAAGCAAAGGTATATTCTGATTGGTCGACAGTGTTGTTGTATTCTGATTGGCTGATGACGTAGCTGTATTTTGATTGGGTGGAAGCGCTGTTGCTTGGTTGTGGGTTAATGGATAAGTTATGCTGGAAATGATGGCAACACAGGCATTATGATGAATCTTTGATCTATGGTTTATATTTTGTGTTAAGATTCGTCTGTCTATGAGAGCAGGTTTCCAAATAGTAGGCAGACGGGAAGTATCATCACGTTTATTCATACAATATGGTCTTTTCTCTATTTCAATGGCCTCTCTGATTATTCTGCCATTGAGATCTTCTATTTTTGCAACTGTTTTTGTGTTATTAAAATTAATATTATTTCCTGTGGCATTTATGTGTTGTACTAATGATGTGTGTTCTTTCTTTTGTACTGAATTTTTATGTTCCTCGATGCACACACTCATTCTTCTGTTGGTCTGTCCAATATATGTTGAGGGGCAGGAAGCACACGAATCAAGGACATCTTGCCCTGCACTTGGAGGTTTGGAACTGGAAGGCATCTCCAGTTGGGATCGTGCTTGATTGCCCATGTGATGGACATGTGGGTGCTGGGCAGGGACTTGGCCTTCCTTTGGGTGGGAAAACCTGGAAGCTTTCAGATTCATGTTTTCCCAGATGTGCTAATATGACATCTCTAATAAAATGGAACTTTGCGGAACTTCAAGCCTCGAAGTTTTCTTTCATTGGGGGTGTTACTTGGAATCCTGACAGATCCTTTTCTTGGAAGTCATTAAAGATAAATAAAGAGCCAGTTATTTGGTGTGGTTAAAGCACTAGGCTAGAAACAATGATATCATTCATTCTAGTCCTGCCTTAGCCATGAAAACCTTCTGGGACCATCGCTATCTCTCGGCCCTAGGAAGCAGGAAATGGCAAGCTGTGTCTGGAAAATCTTGCCAAGAAAACTGCAGAGACCAGTCCAGGTGGTCATATGGAGTCAACAAACTTTCAACCAACATTTAAAAATGGAGATCATTGCAAAGAGGCAGGATACAAGAAATAAATTCTAAACTCTTGATTCAGGAAATGTCATAGTGAAAATGGACCACTTTTTGTTAAGTTTGATTAGTTCTGAATATTGGAGAATACAATAGCTTATCCTTCATCCAGCTTCCTGTTTTTAGGTCCAGGAAAAAAGTAAACAAATCAAAGGATAGTAATATAAAGATACATGCAACTTCATTGTCTAATGATTAATGTCTCTGAAATATCTACTCTATTAGTTATATTAAGTATTACTAGGTCTAGACATGGATATAAAGCTAGGCACATTCCAACATTAGACAAATATTTATTTTGTGCATTTTTGAAAAAAAAATCTGTCTCGTTTTCCCCAGACTGTGAAGTCTATCAGAAAAAGTAAACCTAACAGTGCGGAGAGTTTATAAGATTCCGAAACATAATTTAGGTTTTCTTAATAAGTTTGTCCTTTCTATTTAAATCAGGTCTCAGAAGAATAATATAGCATTTTGGGAAAAAGATACAGCCAAGCAATCCCATTGCTGAAGCCAAAATAGAGAAGATCTCCACCACCACCATGTACTTCCCCTTGGTGCTCAGATAGGTGGGAACAAATGTTACCCAGACACTGCAAAAGACCAACATGCTGAAGGTGATGAATTTGGCTTCATTGAAGCTGTCAGGTAACTTTCTAGCTAGGAAGGCTACTGTGAAACTGATACCAGTCAAGAACCCCATAAAGCCAAGGACAGTGTAAAACATGATGGCTGAGCCTTCATTACATTCTAGTAGAATTTCTTCAGCCATTGAGTGAATATTAGAATCTGGAAATGGGGGACAAATTGCCAACCACACAACACAAATTGTGACTTGTACCAGGGAGCAAGAAAGGACAATGGAGTTGGCTAGTCTTTTCCCCACCCATTTCTTTATTTGGGATCCTGGTTTGGTGGCCATGAAAGCAAGAACCACTATGGTTGTTTTACCCAAAATGCAAGAAATGGCTACAGAGAAGATAATGCCAAAAGCAGTTTGTCGCAGGAGACATTTCACTGGATCAGGCTGTCCAATGAAAAGAAAAGTGCAGAGGAAAGATAGCTGGAGAGCAATGAGAAGAATGTAGGTGAGGTTCCTGTTGTTGGCTTTGACTATGGGGGTTTCCCACTGTTTAATGAAGATCCTCAGCACCAAAGTCGAAGTTCCAAAAAACAAGACAGCTACAGTGGTCAAAGTGATTCCTAAAGGTTCTTCGTAAGACAAGAAAGTTATCTGTTTTTCAATGCAATGATTGTGAGCTTCATTTGGGTATTGATTTTCTGGACATTGGAAACAGTCATCTGCATCTGCAAAAGAAAACATTAATATTTATACTCGGAGTTATGAAATGAAGGGTCTTTGGTGCTCTCTGAGCTTGGTTGTTTTCTTGCCAACATTTCATTACCCAAACTAGGTAATACCATCAGTGCTAGTGACTACACTGATGATGATGTTACCTAGTTTGGATAATGAAACGTCTGCAAGAAAACAACCAAGGTCAGAGAGCACTAACAATCCCTCAAAGAAAACATTGTGGCCCACACAAGAAGCAAACCTAGACAGAGATAAAGGCCTAAGAGAAGGCAAGTAAAAAAAAAAAAAAAGCATAGCAATTAAACTACTGAAATGGGCAAGAGATGATGGATAGATGATTTTCCTTTTTAAAAAATTGTTGTTTTGAATTGCTTTTCCTTCTCCCTCTCTTTCTCTTAAAGCATAACAATCAAAAGTATTGAAGAAAGCAAGAGACAATGGATGGATGATTTCTTTTCTTTTATGTTGTTGTTCTGATTTGCTTTTCCTTCTCTCTCTCTCTTCTCTCTCTTTTTTAGATAGATGACATGATTAGAAGTTAGAAAGGAAAGAAAGGAAAGTCTTTTAATAAAGGGTGATATGATTAAAAACTAGAATAGGTGATAGAAATAAGAGAAGGGGGAATATCAATGTATACATTTTTATATAATAAAATGAAAGCAATAATAAGAGAAAATGTGGAACAACTGAACAATGATAGATTGCAACCTAAGATAAATGTGTATTATAGTAAACTAGAAATATATAAGTTGATTGAATGTAATAAATATGATTAACTTTATTAGTTTTATTTATATTAGAATGTATGGCAGCCAGGTGCCACACTGTTCACGTATTGATTTAATACATTTATAAAAAATAAAAAACCTTCGGAAAAAAAAGAAAAGAAAACATTGTGCCCCAAATAAGCTATGAATGCAACTCCATTTATGTCTAATTAATTATGTCCATTTTATTTGTATTACAGTATTACAAATTAAGAATGAGAACATCCACATACAGAAAAGTAACCTGTATATGCTTGGTCTCATAGAGACGAAGAATGTGGTTTGTGTCAATCTCAATGTCATGGAAGGATTGTGCAAGAGAAATGTTTATGTTAATTCAGATATTCTTCATGTTCATCTGACAATTATTTTAGCAAGAATTCCAGTTATTTATAAGAGTTAAAGATCCATGAAGATTGTAATTCATTATCAGAGCAGCAGAAGGACCATTATTTATGTTCCAGACCTATTTATATGCTTGCTTCTCTCCAGCATGGACAAACTCATCTTCTTACTATATACCTTTATACCTTATAGTATCAGTTGGACCATAAGAAAGGCTGAGCACCAAAGAATTGAGGCCTTTGAACTATGGTGCTGGAGAAGACTCCCTTGGACTGCAAGGCGATCAAACCGGTCAGTCCTAGAGGAGAACAACTCTGACTGCTCTTTAGAAGGCCAGATCCTGAAGATGAAACTCAAATACTTTGGCCATCTAATGAGAAGGAAGGACTCACTGGAGAAGAGCCTAATGCTGCGAAAGATTGAGGGCAAAAGAAGAAGGGGATGACAGAGAATGAGATAGCTGGATGGAGTCACTGAAGCAGAAGGACACGATTTCGCATCTAACAACAACAACATCATCATAGTATCATGAGTCATGGTGACGTAGTGATTAGAATGCAGTACTGCAGGCTAATTCTGCTGATTGCTGGCTGCCAGCAGTTCAGCAGTTCAATTCTCAACAGCTCAAGGTTGAGTCAGCCTTCCTTCTCCTGAGGTCAATAAAATAAGGATCCAGATTGTTGGGGGGCAATATGTTGACTCTATAAACTGTTTATAGAGGGCTATAAATCACTGTGAAGCGGTAAATAAGTGCAATTGCTATATTCAATTAATTTCCTTCAAAGATGAAGAATAATAGAACACAAGTGTTCAACTTCTTCTCCAGTGCTCCACATTTTCTTAATTTTATGAAAATTCTTCTCTTACTTAGCAAGAAGTCTTTTAGTGATGTAGAATTTCAGATATAATTCAGGGACAACAAACCAGACCAGCAATTTAGATTTAGATATTAGGAAAAACTTTTGGAAAAAAAAAATCTAATACAGAGGTTGCCTTGCTTCAATGAAGCCAATTCTCCAAATTCTGAATAACGGATTACATTTGAGAACAATACAATGCAGATTAAACACAAATAGGTCCTCAATACTGCTAGACACAATAAATAAGTCTTCTCAATGATATACATGACACATCTTACCTAATCTGTTTGAAAATTTCCCCTCTGCACAAGGAAGACAATCATAGCAGCAAAATGGCTTCTCATCTATTTTTTTCTTGAGGTAGCCTGGGTAACAATTTTCATTGCATATAGAAAGTGGTAGTGTCTATTCAGAAATGAAACCAGGAGGGAGTTCAATAGTTGCATATTATACACTTGTATTTCACTGTGTGTATGATATTCTGATAAATCTGCATGAATTTTTGAGAAATTCTATACATGGGATACAAATTCAACATATTAGATAGGAACATTTAATTAATGTCACCATAATAATGTGACATTGTCTATACATCCTCATGGAACCATGCATTTTCTAAGATATGGTATAGTCAAAAAACCTAAGAGGTTTTCTGAAGGTTTACTTGTTCAAACTGGACTTCCCTCAAATTCCATTTTGGTCAATTTGATCTGTAAATATCTGTGTCAACTCTGAAGTGAACATGGCTGAGGCCATCTTGGAGGCTTCAGGCTTCAGGAAGTAGTTAAATAAGGTTTGTAGTCAAAGAAATGTATGGCTGTGAAAATTGGACCATAAGAAAGGCTGAGTGCCAAAGAATTGAGGCCTTTGAACTATGGTCCTAGAGAAGACTCCTGTGAGTCCCTTGGACTGCAAGACGATCAAACCGCTCAGTCCTAGTGGACATCAACCCTGACTGCTGTTTAGAAGGCCAGATCCTGAAGATGAAACTCAAATACTTTGGCCACCTAATGAGAAGGAAGGGCTCACTGGAGAAGTGCCTAATGCTGAGAATGTTTGAGGGCAATAGAAGAAGGGGACGACAGAGAATGAGGTGGCTGGATGGAGTCACTGAAGCAGTAGGTGTGAGCTTAAATGGACTCCAGAGGATGGTAGATGACAGGAAGGCCTGGAGGAATGTTGTCCATGGGGTTGCGATGGGTTGGACATGACTTCACAACTAACAACAACAGTCAAAACAATACAACTTTCCTGTGGGAACCCAAGAACATACACACAAGTGACTGGCCAGAGGAGGAATAAAGTAACCAAGCAACTGGCCAGCTCCTGTATTGTGTGACCAGTAACTTGGGGGGGAGGGGAAAACTTTTACTTTTAATTAGGTGAAAGCCACAGGAACTTTTAGAGTTTGCTTTCACTAGTTGTGCCAATACGATATACCCAATAAAACTGTTCTTTGAGGAATTTGCCTGCCTCTGAGATCTAATTTCTATGGGTGCATTACTTGGAATGCTGAAAATATGTGGAGATTCTCAATCATCCAAGTCATGTTGTCTCAAAGGTGCTTTTCAAAGGCAAATGGACTTTCTTGGTTTTTTTCCTTGAAAACATTTGAAAAATGTTCAGTTCTCTGAGAAGTGAAGAACCTTCTTGGATGAGAAATGAAATGTTTTCAAGGAAAAAAAACAAGAACGTCCAGTTGTCTTTTGGAAAGCAGCTTTGTGATGAATCTGATCAGTATTTTATCCCATGATTTATAGGTGAAACCTTGGAATTATCTGCATTTTCATTGATTCCACTCCTTTCTGTCAAATAGCTCCTGAAAAACAGTACTATAGAGAATTTACTCATGGGATACAGAGTTCCTGTTGCGTCTAATCAGTCTTGTAGAAATTATGAAAGAGACCATGTTTTAATGGTGTCAAAGTTGCAGGTTAAACTTAGAAAATTGAAAGGATTTCAAAATAGACAATGTGCACCCTTAATTGATGAAGAAAAATAAACTTGGAATAATGAGCAGGAATAAGATATTTCAACCAGTACAGTGTCTCAGTCTGTAGCTTCTTTATTATTAAATAATTTCCAGCTTTTCTAACTCAAAGATAGTTTCCTATGTAGGGCAACCTGAAAATTGCAGCTTGGCAATTGCATACATTCAGGAATGCACATAGATTTCAGAAAAGACAATACAAGTTTAATAATGGAAGCCCTGTATAATCTAACACCTGCTCTGTTCATTTTTCAACACATTTTATTGCCTTAATTTTATTACTAAAATGAAATCGCTCAAAAGATAAAACTGATTTTTGAAAGTGGCAGGGAGGAGGATTCTAGACAACCTGAAATGTCAATAGGAAATACCTGGTTGAACATGGTTGGCCAGATGATGTTTTCTTCAGAAATCATGAAAGACTCTTCTGGAGAAGCCAATGGGTCTATCTTTCCTACTTTGGTTTTAAGGAAAGTTTGGTTTGGGAACGTGATCCAATTGATGATATCGAATCCAGTTCCTAATTCCCCCTTTTCATTAAAGAAAACTTTTTCTCCAACACTGTTGTTAAATAAGACTGTTTTCAGGTAAGGATGGAGCTAAATGGAAGCAGATCAAACACAAATGTTTTGTGTTTGAATTATATTCATTTTTTAGCTTTGTGTTTTAATTGTGCATCAGCAGTGGATTTCCAATATTCTTACTACTGGTTCACCATGTGTGCGCCTTCTGCGCAAGCACCTGGCCCTGAAAATGTGGCTAAATAGGACGGTATTATGCTGGGGCAGGGCGGGGCCCGCAGTCGCCACTACCGGTTTGCCAAAACCAGTCTGAACCATCTGAATACCACCTCTGTTATGCATGCTATCCAGGGTTACTTGTCTGAGATAGGCTGCTATATAAATTCAACAAATAAATAAATAAATGCAATTGATCTGTAAAAAATAAATATCCCTACACTAAATGCACAGTACTACCTCTTAAAAGTTAAAAGGGGTACTATTGTGCAGGTGAATTATAATATTAATAAACATAATTTCACCAAAGTGAAATGGCTTGCTTGACAAAGCTTCAAACTGAACAGAACAGAATAAGAGTTGGAAGGGACCTTGGAGGTCTTCTAGTCCAATCCCCTACTTAGGCAGGAAACCCTACATCACTTCAGACAAATGGTAATCAGTGGTGGGTTGCCCCTGGTTCGGACCAGTTCTATTGAACCAGTAGTAAAACCAGAGGGGGGCTCAACCCACCGACCCCAACGTCATCAGAACGCTTCTGTGCATGTGCAGAAAAGCCCATATGCGCGCATGCAAAGCGAGCGTGCATGTACGGCCATGTTGCGAACCGGTAATAAAGGTAAGTAGAACCCATCCCTGATGGTAATTCAATATCTTCTTAAAAACTTCCAGTGATGGAGCATTCACAACTTCTGGAGTCAAGTTGTTCCACTGATTAATTGTTCTAACTGTCAGGAAATTTCTCCTTAGTTCTAGGTTGTTTCTCTTCTTGATTATTTTCCACCCATTGCTTCTTGTCCTATCCTCAGGTGCTTTGGAAAATAGCTTGACTCCCTCTTCTTTGTGGCAGCCCCTGAGATATTGAAACACTGCTATCATGTCACCCCTAGTCCTTCTTTTCTTTAAACTAGATATACCCAGTTCAAGCAACTGCTCTTCATATGTTTTAGCCTCCAGACCCCTAATCATCTTTGCTGCTCTTCTCTGCACTCTTTCAAGAGTCTCCACACCTTTTTTACATCGTGGTGACCAAAACTGTATGCAGCATTCCGAGAGTGACCTTACCAAGGCATTATAAAGTTGATAACTTCACGTGATCTTGATTCTATCCCTCTATTTATGCAGCCTAGAACTGCGTAAGCTTTTTTGCCAGCTGTTGCACACTGCTGGCTCATATTTAAATGGTTGTCTGCTAGGACTCCAAGATCCCTCTCACAGTTACTACTATTGAGCGAGGTACCACATATACTGAACCTGTGCATTTTGTTTTTCTGGCCTAAATGTAGAACCTTACTTTTTTCACTATTGAATTTCATTTTGTTAGTCAGAACTGAATTACAAAACTGTGACTTAGTCAAATGCCTTTTTCAAATTGGATCTTTCTTACACGGCTCCTCCACATTGCTGTCATAAAACGTGAACCAGGGCAGAGATTTGTGTAATTTCTAAACTTTGTGGATACTGAACCTGAAATGTATAGTTTTGTGGTCAGAAAATCACTTGATCGCATCAGGAAAGCTTGATAAATGTAGCATTGCAATTTATTCTACTATTACCTGCCATGTTTCTTCCTTGAGAATTATCAGGCTTCCATGGTCCACCCTTGCGCTGTGTTTGTATTTGGATAAAAGCATGGCTTTCAAAGCATGTGCCACAGCATAGATTGCATTGTAGATACTGTAACTCTGCCCAGTCATGGTGGTCTCAAACATAGAATTAGGAAGAGTCTCCAGCTTCTCTTCTCCAGTACACAGCACTCCAGCGCCCTTGCCTATTTTATCTTTCAAGAAAGAACATTCAAATGCCTGTTCCCAGAACAATCTTGTTATATGGTCTTCTTCTTCTGAAGTAGGGCTTCTCATCTGCAAGAATGCTTTGAACTCAGTCATCTCCTTGGAAGAAACTGCAAAAGATATGGCACCATGGATAAAGTCCAAAGGCCGAATTTTTTGAAAAGGGACTGATGTGAACTCCATTTGAGCTGGCATGATCCAAACTTTGTCTTTTCTCCTTACCGGTATATACTCATATTCTGAAAGATAGGGGAATATTCTGAAAACAGCAAGGACCTGGTTTTCACAGTAGAGGATCACAACATTGGCAGTGCTGTTCATGACAACCTTGTACAAGGCGATAAAATCTTGAAATACAATGTCAAGGTCATTAGAAAAAGTTTCTTTGGGCAACTCTTGCATGAAGTCAAAGCAAATACCTTTCTGGGCAAACAGTGTAAGGGCATTCCGTACAAACCTCTGTCCGCTCTCATCACGTTGGGAAATCAACCCTACCCATATCCACTTTAAATGCAACAGCAGCTGGAGAATCCCCTTGGTCTGCAGGTCCTCATTTGGGAAAAACCGGTGAAAGAAAACTGTGTGTTCCCTGTTGTCTATCATTGGAGCTGATCCATATATGAGCTAAGAAAAATAGTTTAAAATAGTTGGGTTTTAGGGTCTATAAATTCAGACAGCATTGGTCTCAAACTTCAAGAGAAATACAGTCCAGAAAGAAACTAGTTTTTTTTCCTTTAATAAGTATAAATGAATAATAAATGAATAAATATATAATATTTGAATGCCAGAGATTTGACAATCTATTGATTCAGTAATTCCTGAACTTTAACAGGATAACAAAATAACAGAAGTTTGGAAAGGACCTTGGAGGCTCTCTAATCCAACCTCTGCTCAAGCAGGAAACTCTATACAAGTTCAGACAAATGATTGTCCAATCTCTTCTTAAAATCCTCCAGTGTTGGAGCATCTACAACTTCTGAAGGCAAGTTGTTCCACTGATGAATTGTTCTAACTGTCAAGAAATTTCTCCTTCATTCTAATAATTGCTTCTCTCCTTGATTAGTTCTCATCCATTGCTTCTTGTTCTGCCTTCAGGTGCTTTAGAAGACAGGTTGACACCTCCCATTCTTCATGGCAGCCCCTTAGATATTGGGACACTACTATCATGTCACCCTAGTCCTTCTTTTCATGAAACCAGACACACCCAATTCCTGTAACTGTTCTTCATATATTTTAGCCTCCAGTCCCCTAAAAGCAATATCTTTGCTGCTGTTATCTGCAATCTTTCTAGATTTATTTTAATTCACAAAATCTTCTCACCTTCCATATGATGATCTGCTGTGATATATGATAATATGACATGTGACCTATGATAGAGTGAAGACTCTAGAAAGAGTGCAGAGAAGAACAACGAAGATGACTAAAAGGCTAAAACATATGAAGAACAGTTGCAGGAACTGGGTATGTCTAGTTTAATGAAAAGAAGGACTATGGGGAGACATGATAGCAGTGTTCCAATATCTCAGTGACTGCCACAAAGAAGAGGGAGTCAAGCTATTCTCCAAAGCACCAGAGGACAAAAAGCAATGGGTAGAAACTAATCAAGGAGAGAAGCAACTTAGAACTAAGGAGAAATTTCCTGATAGTTAGATCAATTAATCAATGGAACAACTTGCCTCCAGAATGCTCCAATGCTGGAAGTTTTTAAGAAGATGTTGGATATCCATTTGTCTGAAGTGGTGTAGGGTTTCCTGCCTAAGCAGGGGGTTGGACTAGAAGACCTCCAAGGTCCCTTCCAACTCTGTAATTATATGATATTATGATATGATACAATATGATATGATATGATATATTGCCTTCGATATAAGAGACAGTGGCAGAATTATTACGACGTTGTGTCTCCTTGCCCTATCCTTTAGAATAGGAGTGGGAAATACAAATGTTAACTTGAAGACATTGATTCCAGTTGTACAATAGTCAGGCTACTGCAATGTGCTCTATATAGAGCTGTCTTGGAAGAAAGTTTGTAGAAGAGTAGAAGAGCTATGAATGTGGTTGCTAGGTTACTAGTCAAGTACATTTGTCAGTGTCACATTTGCACTGTGATCACTGCCTTGATTGCCAGCACTCTTTCTGCACTCAAATGAAAATAAAGGAGGATATCTCAATAAAGGACAGCAGCTCAAGTTATTTTTTTTTGCAGATATTTCATTACCCAAACTAGGTAACATCATCAGTGCTAGAATATGACATATGTTCCAACTGCACAAATCCTGATGGGCCATCTGAAGGACCCAGAAGAGTCATGGATCTAGCCCACAGGTGATAAAACCTATACTGCTGAACACCTTATCCATGTCCTCAGATTCCAGAAAGTCAAATGAATCTCAAGCTGATTTCAAGATTTCACCTTGTTCATTTTGTTTCTTTCTGCCCAACTGGCACCCAAGTCAGAAAAGTTTTTTTATTAGTTTGTTTGTTATATTTAGATATTACACATCTCACTGACAGAGTAATTCTGGACAGTGTACAATTTAAAAAAAATAACACTCTGAAAACTATAAGTTCATAAAGTTTGCCATTTACTTCTTTAGCCTCTTTCTATATTAATCACACACCTCCGATCCCATTGTCACCTCTCTACAAAACACTACAGTAGAACCAACATCTTCTCTCTCTAAAAGTCCTTTGAGTTTCTTCTTTTACCCACTTTACACTTTCATGTGACTCTGCAAAAATAATCATCAAATCAACCAAGCACATAACTAATCATACCCAATGCACTGTCATACATGGTGACAATTTTTGAAAAAAATACAAAAAATTTTTCTTGGTGGCAAAGACAAAAATCACTTCTGTGGAATGGAAGGAAAAAGTTTTCTATGTATAAAGTCCAACAAGTAGGTTTTGTATAGATTAAATTGAATATCAGTACAGATATAGGGTGCATGGTTTAAAATAGCTCAAACTATTTCACAGCCAAGGTAGTGAAGCAGTAGCAATATATAATATTAATCGAGGTCCAATATGTGGACACTGGGATGACATGTTTAGTCTTCTGAGCTTTCATCTCGTGCCAGAGCCTCAAGGAATGCCTCTCTACTAGAATGTGTATTAATCAAGTTTCAGATTTATGCACATAAAGGTAAAGGTTCAGCCGCACATGCGTGCTAGTCGTTTCCGGCTCTAGGGGGCAGTGCTCATCTCCATTTCTAAGCCAAAGAGCCAGTGCTGTCCGAAGACATCTCCATGGTCATGTGGCTGGCATGACTAAATGCTGAAGGCGCATGAAGTGCTGTTACCTTCCCATCAAAGGTGGTCCCTATTTTTCTACTTGCATTTTTTACATGCTTTTGAACTGCTAGGTTGGCAGAAGCTGGGACAACTAATGGGAGCTCACTCCATTACGCAGCACTAGGGATTCGAACTGCTGAACTGCGACCTTCTGATCGACAAGCTCAGCATCTTAGCCACTGAGCCACCACATCCCTTTTATGCACATATCGCATAACTAATCCCTACTCTTTAGGGGTTTTGCCTTTTTATTTTACTCGGATGGTCAATTTTTTTTTTAATTTGATTTATATGCCGCCCTTCTCCGGAGACTCAGGGCGGCTTACAATGTGCTAAGCAATAGCCTTCATCCTTTTGTATATTTATACAAAGTCAGCCTATGGCCCCCACAACTGGGTCCTCAATTTACCTACCTTAGAAAGGATGGAAGGCTGAGTCAACCTTGAGCCTGGCGAGATTCGAACCTGCAGTAATTGCATGCAAATCTCAAATTTTAAATAAAAGCATTAAAAACTGAATAAAATGCTACCCAACATGGATATTAGACATTGTGGAAAAAAGATAGTTATTCATAAGTCATTCTTACTTGCGGCATCTTGTATATATTCAGAACATTTGGCATAAATGGACAGATGTTTGCATTAGGTCCTGCAATAACAGATACTATCTTCTCCTGGATATCACACTTATAATTAGGGATGAATTTGCCCTGTGTGGACAGCAGCTCCAGTGAAGCAAAATAGGTCCATTTTGCCATGAAATTGCTATTAGTGATGCGAATGCCCAGGGTCATGTTAGGTAAGAGTTGAGGGTTTTCATTGATCTCCTTTACAGCGAAAATCAAAGCCAGGATGTGTTGGTAGTTTTGAAGAAAAAACCTGCAACGAGAATTATGGGTGCATAGAGTTCTAGAGTGAAAACCAATGTGATCTTCTGGCAGCATCTAGAATTGGGTTTTCTGCTTTCAAATCTATTTTAAAACTAGTCTAAAGCGTGAAATATATTTTTATATGAGAAAGAGAACAAACATCTTTCATGAAAGAATGGATGAATGACCAAATGGAATATTCGTGAATTATATTACATTTTGCTTGTCTTATTATTTCTAATCCTGCTTTCGACATCTTCTTCCTTCACTTTTTAAAAATTCTGTAAAAGGTTAAGCTATGCAAGAGTTGTTTTAATTCTTGGCAATTCTTTAAAGCAACCATGCTGTTTGCCAGGATCACGCAGCAACTGTAGAAAGCAGATATGCAACCCTGGAGAAAAAGATAGCTTACTTTAAACAGATTCAAGATACAGTAGTGGCTAAAATCGTGGAAACCTTTTGGGAAAAGTGTATTTTCTAAAACTAGCTAATAACACCACTTTTTTTTTTTTTGGAGTAGTAGCATAAATTTATATACCAATGAAAAGATAATTTAATCAAGAATGTAATGCAATTACATTGTATTACATTCTTGATTAAATTATCTTATGAAGGATTTGCTATTAAAATAACAGTTATAAAGAAGAAAAGTGAAACAAGATATACAAAAATTATCACCATAGAAAAAACGAGATATACAAAAATTATCACCATGTCAGTTAATACTTTAGGGTAACCTTTAGCATGGATTACAGCCTTACAATGTCTTCCCATGGAGTGAACCAAGCCTTTTAGTTCTACAGCTATTATAATGTGAAACCAAGAATGAATGATTGCTTCTATTAGCTGGTTTTTATTGCTGGGTCTCTTCTGACTAACAAGTTTCTTTAGTCAGCGCCATAGATTTTCAATTGGGTTAAGGTCTGGGCTATTCCCAGGCTATTCCAGCAGTGGAATATGATTATCTTGAAACTCAAAAAAAAAAAAAAAAGTGGTGTTATTAGTCATCAAAGCGCAAAAATGCGCTTTTCCCAAAAGGTTTCCACAATTTTGGCCACTACTGTATACTGTCTAAAGGACACTTCTAAGACTTGAACTCAAAATGCACATGGACCTACATTTTCCTTAATATCCATGAAAATAATTCAAATCCTAAATATTGATGTTTGATTAATTGCAAAGAATGATCAGGGACATATTATTGGTTATTCATTCTACAGTGTAGAATGGTTCACTTAAAAAGTGAACCATAGATTTTCACCATTTCTAGAAACAAAAGGAATGACTGCACATTTTATTTAGTCACTTAATATTATAGGTTTTGTTTTATTTTACTTTTAAGGCAGGAAGTATATACGGCCATCGAAATACATACAAGAAACTTGGATCAATCAACAAGAAATACTATGATTGGCATGGTTGATAATGATGATACTATGCTATAATGCAATTATTATCTGATAATTATTATTATAAAGCAGTCGGAAGGTAGGATTTCCATCAGTTCGACATTCCCTCTTTAAATATAGTTAAACACTCAAGTCATCATAGTAAAGAAAGATATCTATTTTATTATATGTTACGCTTAATAGCAATATACATGAGGTCATCAACCAGTTCTTCAGATGGATGCCTTCTAAAATTCACTGCATCAGAAATCATGTAGAACTGAGAAATAATGCCAGCAATGATGAGATCTCCTCTATGATAATAATTATGCTTAAGAAGATTAGGGTTGCCCAACACACAGCTAGCAGTAGCAGGAATATGGCATACCACATCTGGCAGTAATATCATCAATGACATGAACAGTAACATATTGTGCAAGAAATCTGAATTTCCTTCTGAAAAGTAAAAGCCTCATTAAAGTGTAATCCCCTCCATATATGTTCTTTTACTCGCTTGATTGGAACTTGGAAATGTACAGTTTGAAGAAGTGGATTGTCACAGTTCTGTCTTTTGCATCTCACGCTTGAATGGACAAGAAATGTTATTTGCTCCCTTCCATCATATTTCATTGTTATGCTATGTTCCCTGAAGCTCCATAGAGATTTCAGAAGGAATTTAATTGATACAGTGTCTTTGGGTAATTATAGGAGAGGTAACTACGACTCCTTCTAGAGACACAGAGTGGAAAATAACTTATTTTTTTCTGAAATAGCAAGAGAGTCTTATGTCTGTCATTTTCCCAGAAAAGTTTGTAAAATACTATTAAAGCTTAATCCCCAATTGATCCCAGGTTAGAAAGTGAGGAAGGAAAGATTTTGTAATAAGGGAGGCCTACTTTTTCGACACTTTTAAAAAAAGCAGAATAAAAAGAATGTCTTGTTTCCCTATATTTGTTTACTGCAGGGGTCCTCAAACTTTTTTTAAAAAATGGTTTTTTTTTATAAAAAGTTTTTTTTTAAAAACACACAAACAAACACACATACAATGTATTTTTTCTGAACAGAGTATTGGCCAGTTCACAAATGTAAACAATTTTTCAATACAATTTATATATTCTCTTTTGCTATAGTATTTTTCTTTCTTTCCCCTTTTTTTTGAATCTGTATTGCCCATTCATCCTAACTCTAATCTTAACCAAGTTTCCTTTTTCCCTTCATCTCTATATGAAAACCCTTAAATTTAAGATATCATTTAACATAATTCCTAATATTACAATCATTCGTTTAATATCAAGATCATAAACCAAAACATTTTATACCATGCATTTTCTTAAATCTTATTCCAATTAATACACTCCAACATCTTAATAAAAATCAATTACTTATATAACAGTTTTTTTCCTCTTTATATAATAATAATAAATCAAATTGCTTCCTTAGATTTCATCTCTCACTTTCAAATACTTTGTCAAAGATATATATTTCAAACTACACCTTAATCATTTCTACTTTTACCACAATCTAATTAATTCATAATACAATATCATTTCACCTTATTTTGTTTTTTAATTGAATTTCAAATAAGTAATTAAAAATATTCCAATTATTGTAATTTCCCTGATTAATCTTATTTATATTTTTGGAACTTGTCTTTTTATAGACTCCAACCATACAATTATAAATATTCCAATTGTTACAATTTCTCTAATTTTAGGTAAAACATATTTATAAAGCTTATTTCATTTTAATCATACATCCATTTGGTTTTCCATTATTTTATACTATTTAAAGTATCATAATTACATCTTGTCTCCAACATTCCTTTCATCATATTCCTCTTTTTTCTTTCTCCCTTTCTCCCTTTCTATTTTTATTTTTTTAATTTTTCTTTCCCCTTCTTTTTTTTATTTTACCATTGTTAAACCCAATGTAATCATTTTGTATTTTAAGAACATAAATTCTTCTATTTTGCCCTACATTTCCCGTTATTTCCCATCCTTTCCCTCTTTCTTGTATTTTCACTGTTAATCCCAGTGTAATCATTTAAGTTTTTTATATTCTTTCCATTCCACCCTCTTTTTCTTCTTTGTCTTTTTCCCCCTTTTCTCTTTTTTCCATTGTCAATCCCAATGTAATCTTTAAACTTCTCCTTTTTATTGTTGCTACCCACATAATCATAGTCATGACCACATAGTCATTCTCTTTGTCTTTATCTTCTTCTTTGTTAACAATCTCTTTTTCTTGTTTCCCATTTGTTGTTTCCTTGTCAACTTGGATGTGCTCTAACTCAGTTTTTGAATCATCAGATTTCAATTTTCCCTGCAATATTGTAGTTATTTCCCTTATTTCTATTTTCAGTAAAAAAGTACATCATTTTCATCATTTCCTTAAGTTCCTGCACCATTTTGTTCTTTCTGTTAATGTTTAATCCAATTTAAAATTATGTTATAATCCTCCTTTTTTAATCATCAAATTCAAATCGCTTACAAATAGGCAAGCCTTCCTTAGTCCTCACAGCTGTTATTCCTTTCAAAGTTCAAGGTTTCTTTTCACAGTTATTATCTCTTTCAACAAAATCAAAAAATCAATGTTGTAGTGATCTTGTTTCTCCTGAAGATGTCTCTCTACAAGCCACAATTCCAGTCAGCAACTTGAAAAAGTATCCCTTTTGTTTGCAATCCACTTTAACAAACTTTACTAATTTAATTTTTTTTGTTTTGTATACACCAAATCAGTTTACAGTCCAATCCAAATTTACAAAGTCCAAATTCCAATTCTATTCAATCTAATTTAAAATCTTTAGCCAGGTTTTTCTATTATGGGCTTTTCTTCCTCCTTTAATCTTCTTTTAAAGTTCAAGAATTTATAAACAATTTATATCCTATTCTGTTCCAAAGATATTTTGGGGGGGTTTCTTTTTCTTGTAATCGATTTAGTCTCTCCAAGTTCAATATCCAGAGTTAAAATTTAAGTATAAAGTTCCTTTTTGGGCTTTAATGTTTTTTCACTTCCACTTTCTCTCTTCTCCATGAATTATCTCCCCTCAACGCTATTTAGCTGCTGTTTCCACACAGGGGTAATTTTAAAAATTCCAATTTTTTCCTTTTATACCTGTGAATTAGCCAATCACTCACCCAGTACCAGTACTCCGTCCAAGTCTTCGCTCCTGCACGATTCTTATTCCGGAGGCCCCAGCTTCATGGCAGTTCACAATGACCGCCGCCGCCCCGCCCCCCCCGCTGTTGGATTGAAGAGTTTTCTCTGGCTTTCAGAGGAAGTTGCCTGTTACTCTTTAGCCTACAAGATGTCTCTCCTTCTTCACTGTCTCTACATGACAGTTCCGGTCCGAAGACCCCCCCCCCGATAGCAATTCATCTGGCTGGGTTTTCGCCAGGCTCGTTAGAACCTGGTATTTTCCCAACCAGTCTCACCACTACGCTTCTGGGTTCTGGTCCTCAAACTTTTTAAACAGGGGGCGACTTCCGGTGGCACTGCAGGCGC